GCCTTTGTTTCTCAGTGTGAGCCATTTTACCTCTAAAACTGTCACACACTCAATGAATTGGTCAATAACATTAGATTGGTTGAGAGTTGTTGGGATTTGTCGAGTATAAATGCTAAATATAATCTGGTTTCAGCTTCTCAGATGTGAAGTTGCTGCTTGTTTTTACTTTTATGTCAGTGTAAATGAAATATCTTTGTTTTTGCACACTAAAAACAGAAAATCTGCCCAGGTTTCTTCTGTAATACATAGCAGCTGAGACCATGACTCGATCAATCCGTAGATAAAACTTAATTAATCTGTAAAAATGCTAAGGACTGAACTGGATTTGTCTTATTATGGTTTCAAAATAAGCCTTAGACTGTATATAAAAGATGGACATAGCCTGGTTTGTGAAGTTCTGTTATGAAGACCATATTTGGACAAGAAGATGGAGTGCTAATATAAAAGCTAACGCTGGCAAACGCTGCTCAAAAGCTGTATCTGTGCATCATACTGAAAGAGATAGTGTTAATTAGTGCAAAGTAACATACAAAAAGAGAAGAAAGTCATTAAAACTGGAGCAAAGACTTCTGATAAGTCCACTAAAACAGTGGTCCCCAACCCCCGGGCCTCGGACCGGTACCGGTCCGTGAGTCGTTTGGTACCGGGCCGCGAGAGTTGAGGCTCAGGTGTGAAATGTATGGATTTCAGGGTTTTTATCGGTTTTCAGCGTTATTTTGTCATCGTTTTTATCGTTTACTCGGTTTTCCTGGGTCTTTTCACGTGTGTTATGAATAAATCTTCTTTTTTTCGGTACCGGTACTAGTTTTATTTTGTTGTATTTATCCGCGACACCTTAAAGGCCGGTCTGTGAAAATATTGTCGGGCATAAACCGGTCCGTGGCGCAAAAAAGGTTGGGGACCGCTGCACTAAAATGCTCCAGAAAGCACAAACACAGTTAAGAGGCACAGCTCAGTTACTCAAATTAGCAGAGATGATCTGTAACGGGCAGCTAAGGACCCGTGCTGGCACTCATCCACTTATACAGACAGTAACCCTCATTATTATTTGTCAATAAAGGATAATTAGCAACTAAAACCTTTTATATTTTTCTGTTTTTTGGGCCGGCTTTAAGAATAATGCAATTTCATAATTTTCATTATTCAAGTGTCCCCAGATTGCTGCATATTTGTAATTCTACATGTTCAGATTATAAAGGAAGCTGCACAAACTGTTTGTAAAGTCAAATCTGAGTCCACTTAACTCTGGATCATTATGACTTGCAGGTTTGGAGTTCTTCTAGTAGCCAACTTTATATCAGAAATAAACATTTGCAGCCTGTTACAGATATAACAGCTGACAGGGTAACCTTTTTATAACTCGTCTCTCTGGATTCTGCAGTTATGGGCGTGGTTTCTTTGATTGGCAGGTGTCCTCACCACTCGATTGTGTTTAAGCTGTTGGTGCTGCTAAAGTGTTTAATGGGAAATAATACATGGCACAGCACATCTAACTAGTTTGTGTTTCACTTTTGATTAATGAAATTCTTCAGTTTTACTGTTTGGTTAGTTGGAAGCACTTAACAGATACCTGTGTCTACTGCTAGCTGCTGACTTAGCAACCCATTAACATTTAAATATGGTCCCTTCTTGGCCCTAAAAGCCAACATGACAGTGGCCAAAGTGCGGCTGCAGCTTTATATACAATTTATGGTTAATCTTTATGAGCAACATATCAGGAATTCTGCAGGGATTCAAACTTATCTTAATTGTCGCACTAGGGGAAACAGCAGAAACACAGGAAATAAAGTGCATCTTGCTCTAAATTTGAGCTAAATGCACACACACACACACACACACACACACACACACACACACACACACACACACACACACACCTAATTTCAGACTGCTTGTCTCACTGAGTGCTCAGAGCTCTTGGAGCTGTGTCAACATCCCTGTTGACCGAGCTCCTTGCAGAGGCACGGTCTGTGCCAAGATCACATTTTCACACGCCCCTGAGAGGAACAAGCTGCATCAGCAGCCCTCTGAGGCTTTTCCCCCTCATGAAGCTGCGACAAAGACTGCTGTCACGTTCCCTTTCTGCAGCAGGTGAAATGTGTGTGTGTGTTTTTGTCCCAGTTCAAATCATTAAGGAGGTGCTGGTCCCGTCTAAAGTGTTTCTGTTGTAAAGTTTGCAGAGGACCGAAATTAGTGAAATGCTCTTGGGAAGGAGAGTTTACAGGACTGCTTCCGCCCGAGCATTTCTGATAACGGGTTTAAGATCGCCTCTATTTTTAAAATTAGATGTGGTGAATCTGTTATGTATTTGAGCTATAGATTCTTTATTTTGGCCTTACTGTCTCAGGCAGAGGATATGATTCACACTAACGTACAGTGCTCGTGTACACATGATTATCTGAAGGATCTGCTCCTTATCAGACTCGAGTTTGTTTGCTCTCCAACCGTCTGAGTTCCCGGATGCAGAGTGAACGACCTCTCGGAGGGATTGTCTTTGCTGGCACGAGTGCTGCCTTCTCCTTGTTGTTTGGATTCTGTCATGTGTAACGCTACAATGAAGGGTTTTGTTGGGGAACTGTGTGTGAGGACCGGGAGAGTGCACTATTCATTAGAGCTCCTATGGGATACACACTTATATAATGTATTAGGACCTCCTCCTATGTTAATGAGTTTTTTTGTCAGAATAAAACTGCTTTTAATCCATGTAGTTGTTGTTTAATCCATGTAGTTGTTGTTATCATTAAAGTACAAATAAACAGGCTGGCGCTTTTCTATTCAATTTGACTACTCAAAGTAGCTGTAGCTGAGAAACCAGCTTATCCACTGTACAGCTGAGTGAAATGGCAACAACTTGGCTAATGTTGACATGAAAAATTAAGGTGTGCTTCTCCAGACAGTGTGCGAGTCTGTGTTTAATGCTGAGACAGGTGGAGTCCTGTGATTGGCCCATTAGAGTTTGCCCTCTTTGGATTGGGCCTTTGGATGGCTCCAGCTGACATCCACCTTTTCTCGCTCCTGGCAGTGAGCTACAACAGTTTAAGTAGCCCTTCACTGTTAAACTGTAAACACCAAGCATACTGTGTGTACATCACACACATTAGTGACTCTTTTTGTTGAACCATCTCTCCTGTTTTTGTCCTATAACAAGGTTTATCCTAGTCATTCGGTAATGAACATAACAGCTACGTCGTGGGTGTATAAATGACTTATCTGGGTATCTCAGCTCCACATGGCCGAGTTTTTAATAACTTAAAGAAAGCCCAAGCTTCTTCAGTTCTAAGAGCAAATGTGGAGAGTCCCAGATTTTAAGCCCTATGGGAGTGTCCCCAAGAGGGTCATGGACCCCGTATTGATCCTCTGTCTAATCACATGAGCCAAGGAGTGAAAACTGGTGTGGGTGAACCTGTGTGAAACCTAGCCCCACTCTATCATGTGATTTACTAAGGTCAAATGGCCCAGGATTGACCTCAGTAAATTGTGACCCGTGCCTGTTTTCACACCTTGGGCTTAAAATTGGGGACTCTTAGAATTGAAGAAGCTTCCCGGTTGAGAGGTGAAACGTCTACAAGAAACTTAAAGAAGTTCAGATGCTTTTCTTTCCAAGCTCCTTAGACCTGATAGATCTTATTCCTCTATAGAAGTGAGTGCCACACTTTATTTTGCCTCACTTCTTCTGCTGGAAATACTCACTATTCACAAGTAACTACGATGACCTGGATGACTGAGAACCTTTACAGACAATATCTATCAGGCTTTGACGAACTCACAGCAGGTGATTGGATGAATTCTCTGTGTAATTGAACTATGAGGAGAATCGAGCTTCTTTGTGAAAACGAGCCTCTCTGTGGTGCTTAAGCCTGATCTTGTTTCCACCTTGTCCCTTTTCTGTCATCTGTGCTGAATGTGGAGCGCTGTTTAAACACCCAAGGTCAGGAGACATGAAGGTACACAGAGGGAAGGTCGCATAGCTGGGCTGAGCGTGCCTTTAGGGTGGGTTTTATAGGGTGGGTAACTATAGCAACAGTTCAGGCGCTGCTGCTCTTAAGACGACGTTTGCATCAGGTGGCGTCACAGGAATTCGTGAGATTTGTTTTCAGTAAAAGCAGAGAGTTCAGGTGTTTCCGTATGCGGCTGGCATGCTCCTGAACAACTCTTGGGTGATGTGTTTAGATGAGGAGGAGGCCCAGCAGCAGATCCAGGACATAGAGACACTCTGTCTCTCAGCTAACTTACATCTGTGGGCAGAACCTCCCAGAAAGAAGTGGGGGAGGTGGTTAGTGTGAGCGAGGTCTGGACATTTCGGTAGCATCGAGCTAAAGTAAGGGCAGCAGAAGATGGAGCAGGTTTTTCTTTTTTAATAAGCGTTCATGAGGTTATTACGATTTTATAAGCTGCTCATAGTATTTTCATGTATAAATCTTAATCTGTAAAGTAACGAGTAACTGTATCGGCTGAATAAATGCAGTAACAGAGAAAAGCCCAGAAGGATAAAGCATTAAATGGGCCAAACTTTCACTTTCATTCTTGAGGAAATCCACTTTCCCTCACTGAGTTAGAAGCAGCAGTTTTTGCACTTGCTGTTTTATTTCCGTGACTACTTTGACAATTTTATGTGCTACTATAATAGCCGCTTTAAGCTGTATTGTACATCTCAGAGATTAAAGTGTCATGTTTATGTGCCAAAGTAGACATGAGGGCGAAACCGAAGGCCAGAAGCTGCCAAATCTGCATCACCAAACAAACTCGGGGCATGCAGTTTGGATGCACAGACTGATTACGGCATAAGCTGTCCACACTGTCCGCGTGTGTGTGTTTGTGTCAGAGGAGAGGGAAAAAATATGATTCAAGCTGAAAAGCGCTGATGTAACCAGAGGCTCGGGTTTAATCTGACATGTAATCCTCTTTTTATGAGATTGGACGCAATTCACATCTCGGTGGTTGAAGGAGCGTCAGTGTTGTGTTGTACAGTGGGGAGCGTTTGCATCCTGATGACCTGCCTGCCACGGCTGAGACGTGGCTGCACTTGTTGTTGCAGTTAGTCAGTGGGTGTTTAGGAAGTGCAGCCCTGTCACAGCGAGGACAGCGTGCACATGGGCAGAGGGCACTATTTTTGTCTGTGAGGCTGTAACCTGAAGCGCTGACCCCACGTCAGGATGTATAAATAACAAGGTTTTCACAGGCACAGTGTCTGTTTACATTCTGTGGTGACGGGCTTGTTCTGCAGGCCGGAAGACAAAGTGTCTGTTAAGTGCGCCATCATTACAGCCATTTTCTTGCTTGTCAGCTACTTTCAGCTGACATGTGTAACGTGACACACCCTGGACCTTCAGTACTTCATTAATTTGCTTTTTTCTTCCTGCAGCCCGACCCGCGACTGGCAATGGAGTACGTGAACAACGCGAACAGCTACAGTTCTGGAGACACCATGAGCAGCTCTTTAGCCAACATGACCATCAAGGATCAGCACCACCAGGAGAACGGAGTCAAAATGAAAGGTCAGACATTAGAAATACAGTCTGGAAGCAAAATAGGACCCAACACACAAATGCAAACTCACTAAAAATGACAAGAAAGTGTCTTTAATGAGATCTTTTTCCAGCTTCAGCTCAACTTGTGAATCCTCTGAGCTCCACTGGTGGGTCTGAAATCAGTCTGATGACAGAGAGCTGTGAGATGTTGCTGCACTTTGGTTGGCAGATGATTTGGATTAAACAATGAGCAGCTTTCTTTTCTTCTGTCTGCAAACCATTATTTCTCACAGCACGAGTAGAGATGATGCTATTTTTGTGCTGTTAGACCTACGCATGTTCAGTTTCCAAGGATACAAAAGATTATCTGATGGTGCACGTCCAAAGAATCTGTCAATTCCACGCTTCTCATTGATCGTAGCTAGCCGCCCCTCTAGTAGAGGGAAGACAGGAAATTACATGACCCCACTCTTCATCAGTATAAAAGCATAGAGCGGGTTTATGCAATCAGGGGGATCCAACGTGATACAACACCTCTGGAAACTCTTGGAAAAGTATTATTTTTAAGGAAAAAATTGAGACAACGGCAACTTTTTTGTATAAATGTGGTTTTTGTAGTATGAGGAAAAACTGTGCAAGTGAGCCATCGCGTTGGTTTTGGTTTAATATCCGGGATCAGCTCGTGTGAGGGCTTTATATGTTCAGCTCAGACTGTAGGAACAGGAGAGGCCTATCGATGATCTATCACCTCCTTTTTATCACTTACTTTTATTACCACAAATAATTAACTGTAAAAACTTAGCTAAGTTGAACTTTAAGTAAAAATCAGTGTAATATGAATCATTTTAATATCATTCCATATTTTCCCTCCGTTGTCCACCTACACTGAGGCTCACAGTCGAGTGTCCAGTGCTGGTGTGTACCACACGTTCTCTGACAGCCCGTTCTCACTCCCGAGGCGTAACATGCCGACGTTTTGTCACGACGTTTTGACCTTCGGCGTTCTTATGGTACGCGGCAGGTTATGGCCGAAATCCAGTGCAATGACGCTCCCACAGTAATAGACGTTCCAGCCCTGTATTCCAGCCCTAAACCTAACCTTTTTCCTGACCTTAACCAGGACTTTAATGATGTTAAATAGCGTGTTTCTAAGCGATTTGAAGAAAAAGAGCGAACATGTGTAGATTGAGTCCATACGGTTCTCATATTTAGGAACGTGGTGGGTAGCCGAAAACGTAATATGTTGACGATTTGTCACCTAGCGTAAAATGTTACGCTTTTGGAGTGAGAACGTGTTGTCTCTGAATATACCCGAAGACTTATATATTATTAGTCTGATGAAAACTGACCTACAGAAGTACAAACTCATTTTGTACACCAGCAACAAAAATCCGTCTGATTATGAAATGTGAAAAATGCTAAATTCGTACTTGTTGTCAACCGCTCTTCATCTGCAGTTAAGCTCTAAAGGTTTGTGAGGTGCCCACAACAATAAAACCTCTGAGGTATTATCTTCCTTGTGTTAATAACAGCTTCCTGAAAAGGGATCAACGATGGACGTAGCCACCATGATCCCACCCGGTAATAAAACTGACTGATTGATCACTGCGTCACTGCTAACACTGAGGCTAAATGTTACATGTGGATAAATAGGAGGAGAGCCGTTAGCAGGCTGTAATCAAACTCTATGATCACATCACATAGACTGAGCTAGCTGCTAATTATAGCGAACTGTAAAAATGTCTCTGAAATTACAGCATGTTTGAGTGGAAGTTATGTAAAATGTTTTAATATTTAAATATAAATGAAACTTTGTGCTAAAGAATAAACAGCTTTGCTCTTTTGTGCAATAAACACTTTTATTATTAAGTTTCTTACCTATTTAGCATTTATAAGCATATAAAAGCCTGGAGTAAATGATTTGTCGTTTTCCTTTGTAGCACTGATGGAAAGAGGCTGTTATGTAAACAGATTATGACATCTTAATTAAACACAGTTGCCAAATTGTAAAATCCAGTTTGTCTTCATTAGAGGATTTAAATGCTTTATATTAATTATTACATTAAACTACAATTTAATGTGTTTTAACAACGTATGAAATGCATGTATTAGCTGTGTGTGGGGCTCACAGGTAAAGGGTTTCTAATTAAAGCTTTAATCCTAGAATAGACATCAAAGAATGTCAAAGAGAAGAATTCAAAAGTAGAGTTAAACCAAATTTCACTGTCGTCTGGGTGGAGGCCGAGCTCCTGAGTTTCTACAGAGCTTTGTTTTAATCTCTTACATAATGGATAGAAGACATGCTCGACTGCAGCTGCACTGTGCTCTGTAATCCGGGCATCTGGGTCAGACCCCTGAGAAAGAGCCCCGTCTCCATCCAGCTCCACTGTTCGCTCGCAATTCAGTGCATAAACAATCGGGCCTTTAACGCAGCACAGAAAGCATTTTCAGAAAGCTCCATTTGATGCCTGAAACGTAAACGAAGAGCAGATAAATGGCTAAAGATGCATCGTGTTTGCTTCACTGTGTTTGGACAGATTTATTCGTCACAGAGCGAATAATCAGTGTCAGACCTCTCAGCAATGTGTTCTCCCCTTTTTTTCTAATCTACCCAAATCAACCACATGGCTAATTAGTACGTAGCCTAGCTTTCCCCAGTTTACAGCCCTCACTAGTGCATTCGTTCTCCCCGTTTCCATTTCCCATCATCTTATGTGCTAACAGGAAGCAGCGCACAGAGTCAGGTCCATCTGCAGGGGTAAACAACACATGTATCAGCAGTGAAACACAAAGTGAGTATCCCTTTAAGCAGCAGATGTGGTGTGTGGAAAGTGACGTATTTGTAAAGTGAGATTAGTTCGTTTAGGATATTTAGAGCTTTTAGCCATCTGATGCTTTAGAGGTGCTTTGCTTAGTTCTTTGGAGTGATGCATACAAAATTGGAGCTTTCAAAACTGTATCTATTGATCTGCAAGGAAGTGCGATACAAACAAGAGATAATTTAGTGTTTTAATTTTGTTTTCAACTGTAATCTCATAGTTATGGGTTTAAAATGTCATAATTAAGAGAGTTAGAGACTTTCCTGATCTAATGCCTCATAAATATTATTGTAATAACAATTCTAAAATTAGATAATTAAGAGATTATAAACAGAGTTTCATAATTAATCCCATAATGTTGATTTATTACAGAATTACAGAATTACACCGTCCGAGTCCATAACGGGACAGATTTTAACATTTTGGCGGTGTCATCAAAGACGTGGTACGCCTCCAGGCGTTTTTTGGTTGCCTTGGTGACACATCCCCACTGTGTCTGGATGCTGCAGACATGAAACAACCTTCCCGTTAAAATTTGTTAGTGTCAAAATCTGAAAAACATAATTATCTAATTAAATTATCTAATTAATTTAAGATAGTCTGATATCCTGTAAGTGGTGTACAGCAAAACAAGGGCACCAAATACGACCTAAACTGACTGCCAGACTTTTATTTATTATAAATAATTCATTAATAAAACACAAACATTTTAGGCTATTGTTTTTATCTACTCTCCCAACACTGCTGATACTTGTGACTAACAAAATGGGGTAAACGTCTAGGCTGTCTGGATTTTTGGTGATTTGCTGAAGTCTTTACATGAAGCAGATTGTATGTGAGGATGACCTGATGAACACACAACAGTATAATCCAGGAAATATATGTCTAGTTTTCTAAACCGGACCTTAACATAATCCAAATCTGCCATGTAGCCCTCAGTCAAGCTGAGGCTGGCGATGCTGTCTGAATGCATCGTTCCAGAAATAGTCTTCCTTTTTGGAAAATCGAGGCAGTAGCTCTGCTGTAGTTCAGTATTTATTGTTTTAAGGTGAGTAGACTGTGAATAAATGTGTTACCTCCTTAAACAGAGCCGACTGAAGACTTTTCATGGTTCTGGGTTTAAATGTCAGACTGCCGCTGATGCCTTTTAACCATTTTGAATTCTGCTTCACAGTTGACCTCTAAGCAGCGTGTGTGGTTGGTTTTTTCCAAGTTTCTGTCACGATTACCTCGGCTTTGACCTCCAGTTTACCTTTGATTTGCAGAGGATGAAGCAGCACTCAGTGAGAATGGGGTGAATTCTGTGTCTGAGCTCTCTCAGCCAGACAGCAGCCACTGTGATGACGAGGCGCAGCCCGGTACGCCCGCCTGCACTTCTGACATGAAGCCTGAGCTGCAGCTTAACCCGTGTTTTAGCTCTTATTTAGCATGGTTCAGTTTGTGTGCAAATCATCACTTGATTTATCTTCTTCATTTAGAGCTCTATTGAGAGAAACGCTCGTCTTGGTTTGCTGGTTTTCTTTTGCTCCCTAACTCTAAACTTTTATGATTCAAGTTTGAGTTTTCTTGCTAAAACCTTTTGATTTGCCTGATTCTACAGCGAGTTGTGTTGTTACCACACAGAGTGCAATAAGAGCCAGCGAACATGAACAGATCAGTGACTAACATGGAAAACAATGCCCCTCTGTGCCTGTACGATGTGGCCACAGTAGCGTCACTCCAGCCCGGGTCGAGCAGGCTTTGATCATAAATACTGAGACTGACAGCTTTTTCAAAGCGAAGCGAGGTGGGAAGTCATCGGGCTGAAAAACCTCCTTGATCTCTTTAACAGCTTCTGAAGCTGCTGACGTGTGGTAGTAAACACAACATTAGCCTGAGCTGTGTGAACCTGATGAAGTGTCAGATTAGACTTTAACAATTCCTGTTGATGTTTGACTGAGATCCATTTATCCAACAGCAGAGGCACCTGCAGAGAAAGCAGGAGCTGAAGATACAGAGAGCACCGTGAGCAAAGACGAGGGGCAACTCGGTACGCCTCCAGACGCTGAGCTGCTGCCTCTTTTCTGCTGCTCGTGCTTCCTTTTGTTTCCCCAGCATCGTTAAAAGAATAGCAGGACATTTTGAGAAATACACTTACTCGATGAGATGTGCAGCTACAGCTGTTAGTTTAGCTTAGCTTAGCATGAGACTCCACTTGTTTACGTGGGTTATGTATGTAGTGGAAGCAGGAGGCCCCCTGACAAGTCCTGTAACACTCAGTTATTTATTAAAAGAAGGTTTTCTCATGTGAACTACAATTCAATTCAGTTTTATTTATATAGCACCAAATCACAACAACAGTTGCCTCAAGGTGCTTTATATTGTAAGGTAGACCCTAAAATAATACATACAGAGACCCCCTATGACAAGCACTTTGGTGACAGTGGGAAGGAAAAACTCCCTTTTAACAGGAAGAAACCTCCGGCTGAACCAGGCTCAGGGAGGGGCGGGGCCATCTGCCGGTTGAGACTACAGAAGAGGTCGACTTCATTCACATTTGAAATGCTCACAAAATTTGAGGTTGAGTGCATGCAGGAGACCAAAGTTGGTATCCCATTTTGGGAAGAGGAAGAAAAAGGAAAATTCCATCGGAAATAGATACCAAATTGAAAATTCGGGGAGTTCTAATGAATTTATTAGTGGACTGACCTTCTGTCTCCACAGATATGCATTAAGAGACACGGCAGTAAAGCAAAGTTAAAATTATATGATTTTGCACCTATAACTATCATGTCAGCTAGTTGTCTCTGTTACCCATTATAACATAGCTCATTATATGCTAAGCTGGTTGACTGTAGCTAATATTGTCTTTATTTTGCGTGTACAGACGTGAGAACAGTGTTAGTGTTTCAGCACGTTCTTCCCAGACCATTAAACACTCTGGTTATTCTCAGAAATTCCTCCAATGTTGTTAAGATTGTTGCAAGCTTCACTTTTTTCTGTGGATTTTGTTGTTCATATCCATTTTCTTTCGCTTTCACACATTGTTTGGTTAGTTGGTTAGTTTTAGGTAGAGATGGCACGATACCACTTTTTTATGTCCGATACCGATACCGATATCATAAATTTGGATATCTGCCGATACCGATATGAATCCGATATAGTGTTTTTTAATCAACAAAACTGTTTTTTAAATATCTTGCTGCATTTTGCAAGTCTGCAAGTTCATACTCAAGTTTAAAACAACAACTACACTAAAGCTATTCTGTTATACCTGTATACAAAAAAAATATTTCATAGTTCAGCAATACTGATCAATCTAATAAACTTAAACCTACACCATCCTCACTATTCTGGTATTTTAAAGAGTACTTAGCGTAAATATTAAGAAACCTAACTAATAGGGTTCCAACTCCCAGCAACAACAAAAATAAAAAAATAAAAAATAGGGAACCACCCCTCACGCGCCACCTCATGATGCTTAATCGACGTAATCAACCTTAATTTGATGAAGTGTGAAAAAAATGCACAGAAATCAATTATTTTTCAAGAAATATTAAATAGATTCAACATCTTTCTTCAACAAAATTGCAGACTGCACAGATGGTACCTTCCCAAAGGAAAAAGTACTATAGCTTACTAGGGTGTATATATTAGACTTAATAGTCACTATATACAGTAATTGACTTTATTCATTTTACATCAAATTAAAACTTTGGGTGTCAAATAATTATTTATTAAAAGCTCGACATTTTAAATGAGAATAAGAAAGAAAAGTATGTCTTTGTGCCCCCTTTTCCCAGTTAATGCCCTACGGCCCCCCTGGCTAAACTTTGCTAGATGCGCCCCTGCACAGTTACCAGCGTCAGCTACTTAGAAAAAGATCCTCGAGTAGAAAGTAATATTAAATAAATTCTAACAATAGCTGATCAAGCTTAAACGTGCTGCTGTTGTTCAGCCGCTGGTTTCCTCTTTCTGGTGCAAAGTGGGCCAAAAACAAACAAGAGACATGGACTCGCGACAGAAAAGCCGATCAGCTGATCATTAAGCAGTTTCATGATTGAAGTAGCAGCCGGAGAGCGAGAGGCAGTCGCTCGTTAAGCTTAACGCAGGAATGCTTTACATTCAGAGATGGACTTACACACTTGCTTTACTTCTCTCGGGGATAACTTTGTCGGAGATGAAATGCCGGGTTGCTAGCGAAGCTCCAAATGCTATCCAGACCACCGACAGGTCCCGCATGCCACAGCCGCTCTATCACGTGATGCATACTGCTCCGACTGCTAACGTTCTGAGGTGAGTTACGGCGTGTTGCAAGTTTTGTGAGGTGCTTTCGTGATATTTAATGGATCGGATTACATTTTTTATTTTTCTCCGATATCCGATCCAGTAATTTAGGTCAGTATCGGACCGATACCGATATGTAATATCGGATCGGTCCATCTCTAGTTTTAGGCACAAAAACTACTTGGTGAGGTTTAGAGAAGGGTAATGATTTTGGTTAAAAGTCGCCCTGCTCAACCTTGCACGCTGTAAAATGACATAAAAGCTGATGGTGAGTCGTCACTGATGCCAGAGGAACCTTTATGACTTCTTATTCTTAGATAACTCTCACAGAAGAAAGTTGATAAGTGTATTTTTCAAAGTGACCAAAGCTTCCTGCTGCTGCTCTGTATGTTTGTGCGTTTCTTTCAGTATCTTCACTGGAAAACAGAGTTTCTGGGTTTCTGTTTTGGCTTTGCTTTTTTCTTCCAATGCTTACTTTCAGACGGTTATATATGCGGCCCCTTCCAGAACTGCAACATGATCGTAAGAAGGCTCGAGAGGCAAACATGTCCCCCCTTTTTTTTAAACAAAAAGATGGTTACATCCTGGCTATTTCAGAATGAAAGGAACGTCCAGACCACAGGCAGATTTAAGAGTCCTGTGATCTGTTAAACAGATGCACGGTTGCGGGGAAAGCCAGGGTAATGTTTAAAACAGCTCAAGTACCACACAGAGCAGCGTTCAGTGTGGTACTGCTGCACGAGGCAAGAAAATAAAAGCCTGCTTATCCATCTTTATGATTTTGAATGATGTCTTTATCTAACCTGTATTTGCTGTGGGCTTTCTGCTTTGACTGAAGACATGCTGTATGCAAGCTTTTATTGATTCGTTTGCACCGGGTGGGTGTATTAATCACACACGAGTGACAGAGAGCCATTACTGACTGAGCTCTCTATCTTTTCCATCTGTCTCATTATGTTCCATCAGCAGCAGGAGCGTCTTCAACAGGTAGGCTGTTGTATGTTTTATTGATTGCACGTAGACAGTATTTATTTACTGCAGGAGATAGATATGAATGAGCCTAGGTGCAATGAAAGCAACCTCAGAGAGGAAGCAGCTGATCACTCTGTTGTGTTTTAGTATGTTCCATATAGTGTTAAATTAAATGGATCCTCTATTCTCTACAGTTGTTGTCAGAAGTTTACAGACACGCATGAATATTGTGGTAATTTTGGGCTTTTAATGATTTCTTCAAACTGTTTTTTCTCCAGGGTTCAATGATTGTGCAACATACATCTTTGTTGACTTTAAAAAACAAAAACAAATAAAGTTTTTTTGATTTTCTCTAAGCCACACATGGTCAAAATGATAGGTTCACTCCCACTAATATCAGTTTAAATGTCCCTTAGCAAGTTGCAACTCGGCCGGATGTTTTTTGTATCCATCAACAAGCCTGTTGGCATAATTCTGTCTGGACATTTGCCCGCTGTTCATGGCAGAATCAGTGGAATTAATTTAAAGTGGTTGGTTTCCTGGCACATACTCGACTTTTAATCGTAATCCACAAATTTTCAAATCAAAGCGTAGAGGTCGGTGCTTTGGGGAGGCCATTAGTTTATACATGTATAGTCTTTATTGTAGGGTTTTTACCTTACAGTATAAATCACCTTGAGACAGCCTTGTTTGTGATTTGGTGCTATATAAATACAATTGAATTGAATAGTCCTTCTTCTTCATTATTCCATCCACTTTGTTTGATGGCACCACCACCATGACAGACCTGACCCACATCACTCACCTGTGCTCCAAACATCATGGTGACCAAACAATCAGGCTTTTCTCCAGAAGGCATTTGGCTTGTCCGTAAAGGGGAAGTCTCAAATTTCAGTCAAGCTTGAAGGTGTTGGTGTTGGAGCATTGGGTTTTGGATTTTTGGAGGGCTTTCTTGTTTTGGCATCTTCTCAATCCCTGAAGATGTAAACCTTGCTTCACTGTGATCAGCCATGCTGGTGTTCAGGCAGTTTCATGGTAGGCTTGAGCCTTGGTGGTTGTTCCTGAACATCCTAACCAGTTTACTCTCATCTGACGATGACAGTTTGGGTCTTCCTCAGCAAAGCAGTGACAGAATAACTTTTACTTTCATGCAGTTGTTCAAACTGCTGATCTTAAAACTGCAGTTTTTTTTAGAAATGGCTCCAAGAACCTTTCTAACTTCCAAATGCTGCAAAGAAGAACTACCAGCTCTAATCAATCACAGTCACTAATGAGAAGTTAATAGACCTCTGCTTTGTCAAGTTAGAACCTTCAACACCATTAATTCAAAGATTTAAGTGGATGTATGTATATATCTGAGCCTGTGTCTACAATTTCATATTTTTAATATATTCAAACTCGTGTTACCCAAGTCCTTAAACATGTATGTTGTACAATCATTCCACCTCTGGAAAAAAAACAGTTCAAGGACATAATTATAAGGCTGAAATCACCACAGCATCCATGTCTGCATATGTAAACCTCTGACCACAGTTTCTGATTTTCCTGCTACTATATTAAAGAGTCTGGAGTGTTCCACCTGAATTCAGATGTAATCAGTCACTTCAGTTTATTTAAATGGTAAAACACGCACATCTTTAAAATTTCTGCATCAGTTTCCTTTAATGATGCGTTTATGGATTAAAGGTTAAATACACCACCTTCTCCTCTCGGCTGATTCCTGTAAGGGTCGGCAGATCATCCGCCTCCATCTAAACATTACACCAAGCATCATTTAAAAGTTCAAAACAACAAACTTGCGCAATATGTAAATATAATAATTTAGCACAAGTTATTATTTTTTCATTATTTTATTTTTAGAGTATTTCTATAGTTTTAAAACGGCACTAACCCTCACCCATTACGGTAACAATAAGAAACAATAAAGCACTTTTTTATAATTATTATTCAGTCTTTACATTTTTTTCTGTTTTCTATTTTGTTTTGTTTTTAGATTTGAGCATCTGCAGTTTTCAATTCGAGATTCCTGGAATTGAACATTATTTTCAGTTTAAAGGGAAAATGTGTTATAATGAATAGTTTTTCTGATATTGACCGTTTGACCAGATACTGTAAACGTAGTCCTGACACGTCGGTGTACATGGATAGCCTCCGTATTGTATCAAAGTCGAAGGAATTTATGACGTTTTTGGCTAATTCAGCTGAAGAACTGATGACCTCGTGCCACGGCAAGGTGTCCAAATTTGCAAATGTTTCTTCTAGGCTCAGAGTATTCATCACGAAACTTGCACACAGTGATCGCCTAGTGCGTCTTCCCTCAAACTGTCCTCGGGCTCAAGGTCACTGTGAAGGTTGACCGACTGGTGGAGGCAGAAATAAATATTTATTCCTTTCTTCACAACCGTGGCTCAGTGTGTTGGATGCAGTGCAGCCAACTAAAGAAAAATCAAACTGGAAAAAGAAAAATGACAAATCTTCAACTTAAACATGATCCTGTAAATGAAACTGAATAGAAACAGCTCTGCACTGGGCTAAACCTGCTTTAACAACGGTCCCTGATAATAAAGACTCTGTGGTCCGCTCTGCATCATGACCTGGCATCCCTGAATCCAGTGGCTCATACTACTACTTAAAATAACAATTAAATACAAATCAAATAAGTTAATGGATAATTCTATATGTTTAAGGAAAAATAAATTTATTGATTAATAATACATGTATTTAACTACATAACTGTTTAAGGTTTTTATCATTTAATGTCAGAATGTGGAAATTTGCTTCTTTGTGTGATCATTTAATTATTCGTTTTTGCATAACTGTACGATATTAATGTCCAAATTCATTCTTGTGAAACACTCCAGACTCGTGTGTGTACTTAGAGGTCCGTTGTGGGGTGGGATACGTTATTTTTGCACTGCTAGAGTCGGCTCAGAAAGGCTTTACATCACATTTTAATCACGTATTCTGTAACAGCATAAATCACTGGTCTGTGTGTTGTGTTCACTGGAATGCATCATCTCTCCGTCTGACACCCAACTGTGATGCATTATTTTTTATTTTGTTTTCATGTGAACTCACACTTTTCCACCTTTAATCACTTCTGGGTTTGTTGTGTTGCATCATCACCGCTCACAGCTCTCTGAGTGTCTGGTGTTTGTTCTGGGTAATCAAACAGTCTTTTATTTTCCTTCATCACTTCTCCACTTTCTTTTTTTTTTTGTTTCATTGGGGAGATGGATAACAAGTGCTGCTGTGAATGTCACCATTAATCTGCTTTCCAAACAAATTAGCGAGGCCTGGTTCTGGAGTCCGTGGTGAGTTTGGATTTGCAGAGTCCGATCTGCACGGAGACGCTGGGAAGGGCGTTGACTTCATGGGAGCTTCCTGCTCTCTGGACCCAGGAAGCAAAGCAGTGGGAGAGTGTGGGAAGAGGCTAAGTGAGTCTTCGTGGGTCTCTGAAGACCTCAGCTGCGGGGCAGAGATTAAACGGGACATGGAGGCCAGCAGGGGGAGCCCTGAGTGGGCAGGAGCTGCAGATCCTCAGAGGGCCATCAGTCTCGACGCCTCCGAGTGCCTCAGTGAAATGAGCAACCTCTCTGGAATGTCTTTAGTCCGCAGCACGGCTTTGGAGGACTTGACATCCATTGGGGACAGAAACTTGTGTGTTCCTCAGGGCGAGGAGCTCATTTCTGAAGAAACAAACGATGGACTGACTGCTGAAGGAGCAGCTCCGAAGCCCCTCGGTGACTCCGGAAGCAAAAATATCACGTCAGAAACACCCCGGGCTCCTCATACGCAAAGTGCGCTCCAGTCTAGCTCCGATTCTCATTGTGAAGACCTTTCCAAGAAGCAGCGCCTTTTTAACAAATTGCCATCTGACACGGCAGCTGAAAACAGCGGTGACTCATCGTTACATACAGCCAGCTATTCAAAGCCTGACATTTCTAATGACTCAGAGATGAGGAGCGGTGTGGCTCAGACCACCGGCACCGCCAAGCTCCAGAAAACGCCCCCCCAAAGCACCCGAGCCAGAAAGTCTTTGGTGCCGGTCGCTGTTTTCAAAGGTCTGTGTGCTGTCATGTTCACCAGTTCAGAACCAGTCCTCTTCAGTTCACTCCTTCCACTCCTTTGATTTCCAACGCAGCTTCTGCTCTGTGTTATGCAGCACTCTCCCTCCGAAGTGTTTCTATGGACGTTAACTTTGACCCGAGGAGAAGCTTGTCGTCCTCCCTCCCCCCACTTTAGCTTTTTTCTTTCATCTCTCCATCTCTGCTCACTTTGCTGGTTATGCAGCCCTAAAAAAAAGCCACCTTTTTGTTTTATGTGTTTTCTTGCATGCTGCATACCCAACATCACTCATTTCACTTTCCATGAGAATGCATTCTGGCACGCTCATGGAAGCAAAAGTCTTAACTTATTGCACTTGGGTGGATATGAAAATATAATATAGATATTAAGCTTTTAAAAAAAGGTGCCAAAAGCTAAAGTTTGCTTCTATTTCTTTTCTATAGCTCAAGGAGTGATGGATAACGGAGATAAGGTACGTCACCAACGGCATTTTTTAGGTTCAGTCGCTCATTTCTTTATGCCTTTTAGTTGTTGTGAAATATTCTGGTTTATTAAAACCTTTGGTTTTATTTTCTTTAGTTAACAAACACGACGTATTATTACCCATGTCTATCACATATATTCAACATTTAACTGAACTCCTTCCAGCGACAGTGTTGAGCTCTCAGTAATTACTGTTTTATTATCAGACTAAGAAAATACTGCAGTTTAGCTCAAACTGGAGCACAAACACTGCAAACTATAATATTTATATATTATATAATCCCATCAAAATGCTGCAAAAGCACCAATATCAAAAACCTGCTGGACTCCAATTAGTGGAGGTGATTCATAATAAGCAGCTAGCAGCTACACCTGCCTGTGTTGGACATTTTAACATGCAAGTCTACGGAGATTCACTCACATTTGGAGCAAGTCTCAAGTGGCCACAGGAGGAATTGCAGTTTTTAGGCACTGGCCTCATTTCCCAGGATGATGCCTCTCGACTTGAACCAACGACTCTATAAAAGCTGGTTCATGCACCTGCCTGATTTGCCCAATAGCACACCCCCTTGAACTTCCAAGTATAATAATAAGAATAAATTGGATTGGACGCCCTATCTAAACAGCAGGGAGGTGGGGCTTCTGTGCCTGAGATGACCATATTAGGACTATCCCCTCTCTTGGCACTACATTTGTTTGTGTAAAAACAAGATCCAAGTTATAATAAACCAGAACATTTCATTCATGTCATAAAAAAATCCTTTATTTTTATCATCTTTCAGTTATTTTTAATCATTCTTTTGTTTTGTGGTCATTGTCATTGGACCTTTTGTTTTTCATTCATTTCTTCCTCTTCATGAAAAAGACTCAAACTGCCACCACACCGACCTCTTCCCCTCAAAGACCGTCCATAACCGCCAAGGGCGCCAAATCACCTGCATCCTCCCGAAATGGCCACAGCTCGATCCCCATTAAAGTCAGCAGCACAGGGCCCAGGCAGCCTGGAGTAAGTACAGGTCTGAATGCAGCTTAGAGCTCAGACGTGAGCCGACTGACTCGCTCAGTTTTCTTCACACTCGCTGACTGAATCTTGTTTGAAACGGTCAAAGAAAAACATGGACTGGAACCTGATTCCTCCCTCTATTATCACCAAACATTATATGAAGAAACAACTCATCAATTCCCCACTGATTAGTGTGCAATGTTACTGCATTCAACCATCTCCAAGACGTCTCTTTGCTGGAAACTAAAATAGTGTTGTGGTGACTTTCAGAGCGGTGCAAAGTCTCAGACTCCAGGGGCCAAAACTTCTGCCAGAACTGCAGCTCAACCAGGTACGAGCCGAGGACTTTGTGCTAAACTCAACTTTTATTTTACTGATTTTAGTATGGAAGCCTAAAGCGGACTGTATTAGCCATATCATTTAAACCTGAAACACGCTCATTTTTACAGCAAATGGGTTTGGCTGTAAATTTACTTTTAGTTTGCAGACTGTGATTGCCCTTTTCAGTTAAATATTTCGGTAATTTCTTTATGCAGAGAGTCAATATTCACAGTGTTGACCCTTCTTATTCACACCTTCTGTAATTCTCTGCTGGATATCAGCTTCTGGGCCAAATCCTGATTGATCGAGATCCATCCATCTGGAAAATATGTGTTCGCCGGCTGGGAGTGGTTGTTAGAGGTTCCTAGTGGTAGTTGCTTTGGTTGCTTGCAGGTTGCTGCAGTCACTTGTAGTCCCTGATAGACACCGAGCTGTCTGCAACGCAGGCCGTGCTGTAGTGCTTGTGCCTCACCATCTCAGAAGGTACAAGCAATTTTTTTTTCTCCCCCCCTTTCTCACTGTCCCTCTCCCCTTCTGCTTTTCCTTTCCTTCCTCTTTCTTTCTCCCTTTCCTATCTCTCACTCATGTCTGTCCCGTCTGTAACATCTGAAAATAAAATATAATAAATAATAAAAACAAAGATCGACCAAATGGACCAATACGGCAAGGCCACGATGATCCATTTGGCAAAGTAAATCCATTGGGTATCCTTGTTGGTCTTCAGACAACAATTCTGATGGCTAAAGAACCAAATGGGACAGGCGGAAAAAAAAAAAAAAAAAAAGAAGGTACAAGCAGGTTGTAAGTACCTCACAACTCCCTGCAACCTCCAGCAACCACATGCAAACCAGCTGGTAGAGGTCGCTGACCAGTCTCTGTGTGACTGGATCTGTGGTTAGGAAACTGCCCACATCTAACCAAGAATCAGTGGACTCTTTGCATAAATGTGATTTATGTACCAGTAGAAATGTCATTATTCTTTACTAAATCACAGAAACAGGCATGAAATAATCTCCCCCCAAAATCCAAAAGCAACAAAGTGAATGGAAAACAGAAATTGTGTCGGTGGCTAAACAGCTGTGCAGAGAAACTCTTCAAAGAAAAAATGGCACCTAACGGGTAAAATAATTATTTAATCTGCTCTTAAAGCTCGATGTGGCTCAGGGGGTTGGGAAGCGTATCTGTAACTGGAAGGTCGCCGGTTCGATTCCCGTGCTCTCTGTCCTTGTCGTTGTGTCCTTGGGCAAGACACTTTTCCATACCGCCTACTGGTGTTGGCCAGAGGGGCCGATGGCGCGATATGGCAGCCTCGCTTCTGTCAGTCTGCCCCAGGGCAGCTGTGGCTACAACCGTAGCTGCCTCCACCAGTGTGTGAATGTGAGAGTGAATGAATAGTGGCATTGTAAAGCGCTTTGGGTGCCTTGAAAAGCGCTATATAAATCCAATCTATTATTATTTTTAATATAGGCTTCCGTATTTTTGGAGTACGCGGTAATGATGTGTTATATTTTCTGTGATCTAGCTCGTGCCAACAAATCCCTCACTCCAAAAAATGAAAAAGGTAAAAAAATCAAATCAAATAAAGGAAATGATTAGAAATCGCTTCCAGCCTTGCATGGCCACAATAACACGGTCTGATCTGCTGTTTCTGGATCAAACTCGGTCAGCTTTTAGCCAGTAGAGCTCCTAGTATGCTTTATTTTTTATTATTTTTTAATGATTTCTTCTACATGCATGACTCATCACACTCCTCCTAACTTATAATTTCTCTGGATCCTCTAGATGCCAGGAGTGGACAGAGCAGCCCCGGCACTCCCAAATCCCCCGGTAGCCAATCAAATTCTGCAAAGTCAGGGGCCGATGCCAACAAAGTGAAGAAGGTGGCTGTGGTTCGCTCCACCCCCAAATCCCCGGGCTCGCTGAAGAGCCGTCCACCGGCTCCTCTGGCTGCCGCGGCGCCGCTGCCAGACCTGAAGAACGTGAGGTCCAAGATCGGCTCCACAGAAAACATCAAGCATCAGCCCGGAGGGGGAAAGGTAACCCAGGAAATACTCTGAATACACCCCCTCACAGAACACTGCCCACTGAGTTTGCAGATCAGAGTTTTAACATTCACGTGACCGAGTGGAGTCGTCTATGATCCAGGCGTATATTTCTATGTGCCATTGTGGGTTTTTAATCATAAAACCTTTTCCTGCCACAAATGTGTCCCTCTGTTTCTGCAGCGTTTCATTTTGGCCTATTGGTGTATCATGGATAGCCTCAAAGCTGTTTTTAACATCATTTCTTCCTCTTTTAATCGCTGCATTGTGATTAAACGTGATGTTTTGCAGTGAACCGTGGCTAACAGACCGAGAGCCTCGAGAGTCGTTCCAGTTATAAAAACGATCAAATCTGAGACAAAGTTCCTCAGAATCAGCTGATATTTCTGCACAATAACGTGATGAGACCAGGCAGGAAGTTCAGGTTTTGTCCAGGTTTCAGGTCTGAGAAGCACCTCTTAAAAACTGCAAATCAGTTTTGTGTAACATCTGATGACCCCACTCGGTCATTTTACATGCTTGAGTTTTAATACCAACACAGAAGGCCCTGAACCCTTTGTTGTTCCTTCCACCTACCATTTCCCTGTCATGTCTGTTTCCAGAGTGGATTTGCTCATTTAGTTTTTTACTTGCTCCATTGTTACTTTTATTATTACATATAGGGCATTATTTCAGGGGCCGGCAGCTATGAAGAGAATGAAGAGCACACAGATTAACTAGTTAGTTTAACTTGAAGAGAAGAGCACAGACAGGTGAGGGAGACAGGTGTAACAGTGAAGATGTAAGGAGGATGTAGTGAAGGTAAGTGGGAAAAGAGGATGCTGGGATGAGGCAGGTGGTCTGTGTGGTGACCCTAAAAAGAGGAACCGAAAGAAGAAGACTAGATGATGACGATTTGTCAGGGTGAGATTTCAGAAGTTCAGGTGTTACTATACAAACACAAGTCAGGCAGCTGACTCACAATAATCCGCACACCTCAGGTCTCAACAGACAAATACACTAAAGATTATTTTAATCAAGTTAGTTTTGATAAGGACACAATGTAACTTTTTAAAAAAAAGATATTTTATTATTATTGTTATTTTTTTATTTCAATATTATTTAGCTCTAATCTTCCCGGGGCAGCCGTGTCTCTAAGAAATGTTTGTGGAAGTAAAACTCCAGTCTGCAGCTCAGTGTGTCGAGTGTAGTCTGCAGTGTGATGTCGGTGTGTGTGTGTGTGTGAGACGCTAGAGGTTTATTTTAGCTAAAGCCATGCAGGTCGTTGGTCTAATTTTATTCAGGGTGCAGTCACGTGTCCGATGTTTTACTGATGAAACTCAAAAGTATCACGTGTTGTGATATTTATGGACCAAAATAAATAATTCAGCTCCATTCAGAGTTCAAACTAGAAAGTTTTTATTCTGGTAGATGATAGAAGAGCTGAAAAATCAGTCTTTGGTTCCTGCCAGTGTTGGACAAGTAAAGAAATGAGAAGAAGTGAAGACCAATGCACACTTTGAATTATCGACTCTCACCAACCCCGCATGCGGTCACACTCCCGCACGAGTTTCTTCCCACTTCTTTAATCAAATCAAGCCATCGTCTAAACTCTAAATCTAAAAGCTGACATTTTCACTTTTCCAGGTACAAATCCTTGATCAGAAGTTGGACTTTAGTAATGTGCTGTCTAAGTGTGGCTCCAAAGACAATATCAAACATGTACCCGGTGGCGGCAATGTGAGTAACTGGGGGATGAACTCAACTCCAGACTCTTGAGTATCTCTGCAGTTATGACCATCAGAAACTAACTCCTGGTAAAAGCAAAGTGCTCTCCTCTAATGATCCGATCAGAAGGTGGACTGGATGTGGAAACACAATCTGCTCAATAATCCGTAATTGGCATGGACTGCATATAAAAGATGGATGTAGCCACTGTGGCATCACTCACCCTGGTAGGCTGAGTCCCGTTTAACAGCTTCCAGCTGTTTGTTTTGGTCTTTGACGCCTTAGTTTTGGCTGAGAAACTGAGGTATGCAACGCAGCAACGTCTTCCAGATCACAGGGAAGGACAGCCCTAGACGTAGCCACCAGTATAATCACGAGCTTTCTCTTCCAGTAACCGCTACTGGACTTGGTTGACAGTCCCAGAGGTATATGGTGCTGCACTGGAAACCACCTTTTTATTGCTTTGGCCATTAACAGATTGTCACCCATAGTTAGCACGAAAGACGGCAACTTGTCTGCACCAACCAGAAATGTTTTACCTTCAGAGTAAAAGTTGTCCTGCTGCTGCAACCAGCGTGTTTCAAAAGGCACAACTTTTATTTTGAAACGGTTTGTGATGCAATTTTTCAAGTTTAGCGACGGCTCCACAAACAGACAAGTCGGCTTCTACTGTGCAAACTGTGGGTGACTACGGCGGTCTGCTAGCAACTAAAGCAATAACAAGGAGGTTGTGGGTGCAGAACCTTTTTTGCATCAGCCAGGAACCAGTTGGTGAATACACAGTTTTCTGTAACAACCAGGTGGTTGCCGGGTGGTTGCCAACTAGTCTCTACGCCTGTAAGACAGACCTAACAGACCAATCAGACTGTATTAGCAGACTGACGATGCTTTATGGCAAAATAAGCTCAAATCTAAGAAAACAAATAAATAAAAAAAAAAAAACGAAAAATAGCTGTTGAGTCCATTCAGTCGTAAGAATTGATTTGCTACCACGTGATTGGCTAATTAGTTATTGCATTATGAGCAGAAGGACAGGTGTACCTAACAAAAACTGCTTTTGGCTACTACAGGAGTCGCCCTCTGCTGGACACAGAAAGAATGCAGGTTTAATTCAGCTCACTGTTCAGACCCAGAAGCTACATCCATCATTTATATGCAGTCTATGCACATAAGACTGAAGTTTTTATATGATTTTAATTCTTTCACTGAAAACTGGTGATGTACTGAGCTAAAGCTGGCATCTTTAACATTAAACTGATTATTGATTTGCTTTTAACACAGAAAAAAAAACACTGTTATATAGTTCTGATATTTAACAAATAGCTCTGTCTGTCCCAGTTAACATTAACACAGCCTCCTCGAGTTGGTTATGTTGACAAATTTGAGCAATTTTTAAAAAAAAATTAATACAATTTTTAGTATTTCTTTTTCATTTAAGTAATTTTGTGAGTGCAGCGTATTTCCTTAGTTGCTTTTTGTTTTTTATTCATGTTTCTGTTTCTAAAGAGATTTTTTTTTACACTTAATTAAGTTTTAATTAACTTTAATATCCTTGCTAAAACATCTGTTTGAAACTCTGCAGCTGCATTAAAACATCGCTATTTTTGCAATCTGCTCCACTAAAGTCGTCAGAAAACTGACGACTTCCTCGAAACGTGACAATTATGCAGAGTTACAGATGGCAGCTTTAACGCCGAGATCTCTTTCACCATCTCACTTCCTCCTTTCGGGCTGATTCTCTCCCCCCAGCTGTTCTCCTTTTATTTCCTGAAGAATTTACTTGTTTTCTGTCTTGTTGCAGGTCAAAATCCTCGAGAAGAAGCTGGACTTAAGTAACGTCCAATCTCGCTGCGGTTCTAAAGACAACCTAAAGCACACGCCTGGTGGAGGCAAGGTGAGAGAGACTGTAGCTTTAAAAGAAGTCCCACTAATTCCACAAAGGCACAAGCAAAGGGATTATTCACAAAGCCTGTTGCATCATTTACAAGTGCAGTTCAGCTTGTTTTACAAAAAAAAGCAACTTCCTGTCATTACAGTAGCGCCATTCTATGAAAATCAGCAGGTACCTCACACCTGACCTCATCAGAATCAACTGATTATGCACTGAAAATGTCACATGGACCCAAATACGCCAGGCTCCCCCTGCAGCCTCGCTGCTCTGTGACTCAAAGGGTTAACAGTCTCCCCCTCACCTGTGCACTTCTCCATCCAGACTGAAGGATTTCAGAGGTTTTCAGAGTCTGACGTGACTAAATCTACAACTTTATCAGTTCAAGTTCAAATTCAAGCACATCCTCTCAATAAAAAGAGGAAATGTTGAATCCATTTTTACAAATTCTGTAAAAAGAGCTGTCGTGGTAAATAATCTCGATCTTTTCCAAAGTACCTGTGATTATGATGCCAGAGATGGTGAGCAACATCCTCCACAGCGTTACACCACCTCGTCCATCCTCAACCGTTCATGAGAGGCAGGATGGATCCGTGCTTTCGTGGGGTTTATGCCACATTCTGACCCCACCATCTGAATGTCGCAGCAGAGACTTCGGTCTTCTCTTGTCTAATTACTGTGCATCTGCCTCAAGGTTCGACGTGTTGTGCATTTAGAGTTCTCTGTGAACCCACAGATGGATGTGTGGGGAAAAGATGAACAGATTCTCAAATACTCCGCTAGCACCAACAACCACACCATGTTCAAAGTCCCTTAAATCACCTTTATTCCCCCAGTCTGATGGCCTTTAGCGGGTCTTTCACCATGTCTACATGCCTCAATGCATCAGGTTGCTGTCATGTGATTGGTTTTACTTCCTCCCTGTCTCGTTATGTCGGATTAGTCCCAGCTGTGTTTCCCTCCTGTTTCCCATTCCCTTGTTACTCCCTTGTGTATTTAAGCCCTGTGTTGTCCTCTCTTTGCTGTGTGTTTCCTCCGTGCTCCTGGTTTTCTAGCCTCCCAATGTTGATGTCTTAGTTTCCAGTTTCTATCTTCAAGTTTGGGTTTGTTTTCCATTTATTTTATGGATTATTTTTCCCAGAAAATAAAGCTGCTGCTTTGAGTCCGGTTTTCCGTCTGAGAGTCGTTTGGTTCTAACCGAGCCTGCCACTCAGCATCAAACCATGACGGATACCTGCAGTGAGGAGCAGTTGAAGAAGATTTATCTAAAAAAGTATCTGATGAGTGTTTAATGTCATATTCTTGCATTTATAACTGGTGCTGTCATCTCTCTGTGTATTTATCGATCTCTAATGAAAAGTCTCAACCCTGTACGGTCAAAGTCATCACAGGATTACCTTCAACTTTTTTCTGATTGTTTCATTTTTTCCCCGATTGTCAAAAATGTGGAAAACAGTTAAGTGAAAATAAAATTAAAACCAGTTTTACTGCAGGTTAGAGTTGGAGTCATCTCCGATGATGACTTGGCCCTCAGAGGTCTAACTTGATGGTTGCCCCTGTACAGTTTGAAAACCTCTGAAATGCTTCACCTGATTGTAATGGCTTCAAAGCACCAGTGCGGCGATGTGGGGACATCTCCTCACGAGGGTTTCGGTCAGCTCTCACTCCCCCGAGCCTCAAACCCGTCCCTCCAACATCTAATCTTCCTCTCCAGTAATCGTCTTCATTCGCAGCTCTTTGCTTTCGCCGCCATAACTGTGTTTTTTCACCCCCATGTATCAACTTTCCAGGTGCAAATTCTCGATAAGAAGTTGGACTTGAGCAGTGTGCAGTCCCGGTGTGGCTCCAAAGATAATATAAAACATGTACCTGGTGGTGGCAATGTGAGTAGAGGTGTGCTTCCACTGAACGCATCCTCAGAAAGGAGCACAGATCCTCCCGTCTGTGTCCAGCCCTTCTGACCTCCCAAACGCTGACCTGTCAACTTCTCCCATTAACAGTTTTACTGAACTCGTGAACAGATCTGAGCGTTTCATACTAGAACAGCACTAAACCGCCCTCCCAGTGCTTTTCTTTCACTGGTTTAGATGCTCTGTAGTTTCTAAATCAGAGTCTTCTTAGTTTAGTGGATCTACCGTGTTATGCAATGCTCTGCGTCTCACGTAAGCCCGATAACTCTGTTGAGTCTTTGCCCTCAAATCTGTCCCTGAAGCCACACGCATGAATCCTGTTTGTGGACATTTTTATTTCCTAAAACCTTGATGTGAAGTGAACTAATTGTCCCCTCAAAGTGTCCCGATCGGGTAACAAAGAGCCCCGCTGTCCTTGGCTTCTCCACCAAACAGTGCCTGTTGTCATCCACGCTGAGGTGACCTCAGCTCGCAGAGAGACTGAGCGCTCTGTGTTTGCAGACAAACAGCCAAGAGTGACATCATCTCTCCATGCATGGTGATGCATGGCTGCTGAAATCTGGCTTTTATCAGTTAGTGCAGAAGATGGTCACTCGTTTTTCTGCACTGGGGTAAGGTCGCACCGCTCAGATTAAAACTTTAAGTGTTAATCCAGTGTGTTAGTCGGTGCTGTTAATCTGTGTTTCCTTCCATAACCCGGTTCCAGAAAGCAGGTTTTTATAGTCAAGTCTGTCGTAAATGTAAGGAGAAAGATGGAAATCACAGATTTATTATTAATACATATTTAAAAAATGATTGGTCATCGTGCAACAAGTGAAACCTTAAATTTAAAGACTCCACACAATCCCCCATAAATCATCATCTGATTTCATTGACTGACTGAGTCGCTCTTATCTAAAAACAAAGGTGTTGATTCACTAAAAGCTCCCACGTTTAGAGACAGCTCCAACGCGACTTTAAAGTACGACTCAGAGACCGTTAAACCTGCTTTCAGGAACAGTTTCACTAACAGGCCGGTTTTATAGGATCAGTTCCTCTGTGGCTGCATGCAGGGCGACTTCAGAGCTGCTGACTCTGCTGGTCTGCATTCAAACTCTGTTTGTGCTGTTTTTTTCCTCTCAGATTCAAATCGTGCACAAAAAGATCGATCTGAGCAACGTTACATCTAAGTGTGGCTCGAAGGACAACATTCGTCACAAGCCGGGTAAAACATTATTCCAACTTTCTGCTTAATTTTAGGTGACGAGCTTTTGTGAACAGAGTACATAACGACAATATAATTAGTAGCAGAAGTCTCCTCCACCTTCAGTGTAAATGCAATACCACACGTAGTAATTTATGTTCATGCCTCTGCTCTGAATACCATGAAAAGCATTAACCTAAGAAGCTGGGGTGGAGGTGGGTTGCAAAGCGGCTTGGAGAGCCGAACGGCAAACACTCAGTCTGCCTTTTTTATTTTCGGATGGGTGGGAACAGTCAGCTGGTCCCTGCTTGAAGGTCTCAGGCAGCTGTGATTATTTCAGTAAAACATTTTTTAATGATGGTTTTCTTAATATTAACAAAAACTGGTTAAACTTCTGTAGCTCTGATTGTTTGATTTTAAAAGCAGGAAATGTACTGATGCTGGTTCTTACACTAAGTACCAGTACAAGTTCTTCCACTTCTGTAATAATGGTGCTGCACTCAGATTATAATTTTTTTTTTAGGTGGTGGAAACATTGAGATCAAAAACGAGAAGCTGGAGTTTAAAGTTCAGTCCAAAGTGGGCTCTCTGGGCAACATCAGCCACATTCCTGGAGGCGGGCAGAAGAAGGTGAAGTAAAAATCCACCGACGCGCTCTCTGCAGGCTAAAAGCAAAACGCTCAGGGCACCGTGGCGCTTCGTCACAGTTCTGTATGGAGACCAATCCGTGCCAAGAAAAAAATCGGAAAACAAACATTTTGATCTTCACTACATTCAAATTTCTACAAGCTTTTCCTCTTATTCCTCTTAAAAGTTAAACATCAGATTTTTTGTATTTATTTGTTTACTGCTAATGCAGTTTAAGAGTAAGATAAAAAAAAAAACGAGACAAAATTTGCAGCTAAAAACTTCAAAAGCATCATATTTACTAATGAAAAAATAAATAAATAAAAATTCTAGAACTGAAAGTACATAGACAATATACACATATAATTAAAATTCAATTTAAATTAACTAAAGTTTGGCACCATTTGGCCTCAAGCATGTTTCAGTGCTCGGCTCTCTTCTTCGGAAAACCAGCTTTCAGCTCTTCTGCGTCTCTGTGGGTGAAACACACTCAGCAACACAGAAACAGCAAAACTAAAACCAGCGAGAACATTTCAGCTGATCTCTAACAGCCACGCTGACGTTCGTGAGGGTGTCACACACACAGCAGCTTTTAGAGCTTTTTTTTTTCTTGGTTTTTCTGCTTTTTCCCTCCTTTGTTCAAGCTTCCATTTTCTTCATCCTGCTGATTTTCCCTTCATTTTAAAGTTTTCACTGTCGTTCTTGTCAAATTTCACTGTTGTGACAGCGTTTCGGGGTCACTGGAACTAAAAGTTTACAGGGGAAAAAAGGCAATTTAAAGAGATAAAGTTAGCAAAATTTTTGTGAAAAAACTGGCAATGTATGAGAAAAACAGTGAATAATTTAATAATAATAAATTTGTTTGTTTCTTTCTTGTAATTTTATCACAATTTTCTCATATATTCATCAGATTTTTCTAATAAATTTCAGTTTTTCTAATTTTACCAATTTTCTCCTTTAAAATGTCTTTTTTAATCTCAGAAATTTTGTCTTTTTCTTGTAAAATAATTTTAAATTCTTCAAACTTTAAAATTCTGATTATATTCTCTGAATTTGACTCCTCCCCCAAGCTCCTCACATTTTTTTATTTGTATTTTTTTTTTTTACCTTCAGCGGCCCTGAGACGCTGTGCTGCATTTTCTCATCAATTGTTTTGCTTTATTTTATTTATTTTTCATTTCTGTTGAAACCATCACGTGTATTTTTGTTGCATGCCTTTTTATTTCCTTGCTGGGGCTCCTCTGTAGAGGGAGAAGGGGAAAGACGGAGAGGGGAGCACCTCAGACAGCCCCTCGGTCCTCTCCCCCGCTGTCACCCCCCCTCAGTCACCTCCGACTGTCCCTTCAGCACCCATCACACCCATCCTGACGAACCCTCTCATAAAGATTGAGGACTCTTGTAAGTACCTACAAGCTGCTTCATCTCAGACTCTCAGACATGAGACATGACGTGGATAGTGCTGATTATGAGTTTTCAGGATCTGAGGCCTGTGCTGTGAAGCTAACCTAACATATCAGTCAGGCCAAGAGGTCATTCACACAGCCAGAAACCTCCTGCAACCGCTCTGCAACCATCAACCGGAGGTGGCTCGCTGGTTGCTGACCGGTTTCCTTTAACATTTAAAGAAATGTTATGAACATGGAAGCTGTAAACGTCTTTATTTCTGTTGCATGCATGCAAACAGTACCTCATGTGCACACACTTTTGAGTAAACAGCTGAGGGCGAATCATAACGCAGGAAATTAAAAGATTACGTAGTGCAGGACTATCATTAGTCCTTAAAAATCAGAAAAATCCAGGCCATGGCTGATCTGATGTCTGACCTTCACCTCCGATCTCGCCACAGATTGAGAGCCACAAACTGAACTTCCGCGAGACAGCCAAGGCCCGCACTGACCACGGCGCCGAGATCGTCTCCTTGGAAGACTCCCCTCACCAGCTCAGCACCGTGTCCTCCTCTGGCAGCATCAACATGACCGACTCTCCACAGCTCTCCACGCTGGCTGACCAGGTGTCCGCCTCCCTGGCCAAACAAGGCTTGTGAACGCGCTCGCCGCACTCCCCGCCTCGACCGCACGACCACGTAGAGGAGTTGTGATGCCTTCCTCGTTACTTTCACAGGACTTTTATTTGATTTTTTTAGCTGCCCGTCACTGTTTATCCTCCACTAACCTTTGAATCTCGTCGAGGCGTTGCTATTAGAGGTCTTAAAAAAGAAAACAGATTAACCAGTAGGCCAACATGTATTGAATATCTCTCTGTGGTCTTTGATCTCTACACTTAATTTGAACCTTTTGTAAGTGTCCCTTTAAGAGTTAAAGCACCCCAGCAGAGCGAAATCCTCCCTCTGAGGATCTCCGTACATATCCCGCTAAATCGTCTAAGACTCGGTTTCCCGTCACATTGACTGTGAACCCTTTTAGAAGTGTATCTTATCAGCGTCACCTTTGACGGGTGTCCCCTGATTCTTTTTTTTATTTATTTATTTTTTGATAAAAAAAACAGAACCTTGAAGATGGAGGTTAATGCAGACTGTTTGTGGGACGGGGGTGGGGGTCCGTTTGCGCTAAAGCAGAGGGATCAGATACAGGGTCCGGTGAAGTGGGCGGAGGAACAGTTAGAAGGAAAAAGTAGCAAATATTTCTCGTCAAGGCAGAAAAGAAAAAGCTTTCAGACCTCACTGCTGTCTTTGCTTTGTGTAGTCCTGACATGTGCTGCACCTCGAGCTACTGCAGGAGACTGCGGGGTGGGAGGGGGCAGAAGTGAGACCGCAGAGACAACAGCGACTGATCGCGTCGCCTTCACGCGACTTTTTACGGGACGCGCCGAGCTCAGATGTTCGTTCAGAGCCGCGAGATCGAGAAGAAAGAGAGAAATTACACTTAACGGAGGGTTGAGAGAGGCCTTTACCAACGGCAGCTGTGCTGTTTAACTCTTCCCTGCTTAATAGGAGAAACATGGCCGAGTGAGGGTGATCTTGTTCTAACGGCCATTGAAACATTTGTTAACCGATAAATACACTGAAGCATCAGGATTTTGTAGTTTCTTATAAAGTAGCTGGCTCGTTGTTGTGGCGACGATACGGTAAAGCTGTGCTGTCTGCTGCGACCCGCAGCTGCTGAGACCTCGTTACAGCCTGGTGGCACTTTCACGGGTTCAAACTTCCACTGCAGACGTGAGCAGCACGCTGGGGAATATTTCACCTTAAATATGGAAGTTAAAGGGCCCGGTCACGTGTTGTAAGAACACTAAAGCTAAATAAGGAAAAATTTAAAAAACAAAATGTCAACATTTCTTCTTCGGTTTTATTTGACTTATTTAAGCTGGTTTTTGTTCCCCGCTGTTTCCTGTTCTCTGTGTGAGTCGTTCGGCTCAGAATGATCAATTATCTGAGCTCGGTGACGAAGCGAGGGGCTGCTGCCTCTCCGCGGTCTCATTTCTGACGCTCTCCCTGCGTTGTAGGTGAGGGAGGGGCAGGGGAGCGTTACCTGGATTTAAAAAATACAGAAAAAAGACGAAGTGAAGAGCTAGAGTAGAGACTTTGTGTTGGGCACAGTTTTATAATCGTACTCTGTGGATATATGACATGTATTTGATATGAAGAAACATTTGTATCGTGCCTGCTACTGTCAGTGTTCTTTTTTTTTACTGCTTTGTGTAAATGCGCTACAGCTTGAGGAGGGAAAATTAACCTTAAAGTGACATTTTCATAGCTAAACTGCGAGGAGGAGGCTGAGAACAGTATTTATGCACTTACAGGTAGGTAGACTAAAGTTTTCACAGCGGTGACACAAACACTGCAAACGGCTGTTTTACTGTTAATGGATCGTTTGTACGGAGAAGATTGTGAGTGTTGCACGGCAGGCGGACGGTGAAGACCTCCTTAGGCAGTCTGTATCCAACACACATGCACCTGAAACACAGGACTGATCAGATGGCCGTGTTTCTCGCTCCCTGCAAAGTAGTAAAAGTGCACTTCGTGGCAAAAGTTTGTGGACGCATGAGAGCTTATCTGCTGCAGATTTTTAGCAGTAGTCCAAAAGTCACGAGTGAGGCTTGATGAGCGTCACAGGAAGTGTTTGGTGGGCCAGAGGAGACCTGAACGCCACAGCACACAGTGGTCCCAGATAACAAAAAGAAACCTCACACTTGGGCCGGATATTACTTGCCATTTGGGTTTTGGTACTTTCTCGGATTCATTTGATGAGTCGTTACATTTAACTATGACTCAGTGTTTAATTAACTTTTAGAAAATGTGTCTAAATTCTCAGTAAATTCTGACCAAAGGCCAGAACAGGAATATTTAGAGGAGGTGATTATTTCACTGCCTTCATGGTGCTTTAGCCACAGGTGCATCATTTGGCCCTAACAACCAACACTTATTTCCACTGTGAGGTTGTTGTTTGAACATGGAGGCAGCCTCAAGTGGCCATCAGAGGAACTGCAGTTTTTGGCACTGGGAAAAAACCCGTCAAAGTTAAAGGATAGATAGACCTTCCTTTAAGCAGCAAAAGTGCCCGAGTATCAGATTAAAATATGATCCCTTTTAAATGGTTGAGCCAGACAGGTGCGTCCACTTACTTTTGTCCACGCGGTGCATATGTGGTCACGTTTTTGTTGTGTTCTCCAGCTGGAGCCAGGTTAAGACGTTCCCCTGCAAACAAACCCAGTTCATGTGCTCAGAGACGTCCCGATGTGGCCCCCCCGCTGATTCATTACTCGCATTAAAATGAGTGAAACAGCTTCTTGCATGCAGCTCATGTAAGAGACAGCCGTCTGCTTGTTGCCCCCCTTTCACAAAGCGATCTCTCTGTATATCCTGTTTATATTTGCTCTGGAACTGGACGGATGTACCAATTCTTTTTTTTTTGTATAAAAAAATGTGCAATTAAGGGTCAAAAGGTCACCGACTTTGCTGTAAGGTTTCCTAAACGAGCAAGCACACGAAAAGCTTGCAACATTATCTGCATGCTAAACCCTCTTTAGTTCCAGTTCCACGCTCGTCTCTGCGTGCAGGACGGACGCGAGCACCCAGGGACGGGAGCCGATCTCAGAGAGGTTTCCACAGTAACAAAACTCGTCACCTTCTTTCGTTTTTGTTTTCCTCTCTTCGGGGTTACTTCTGACGCTGTACAGTTGTGGAAATGTGATTGTTCTCGTTATTGTGCATTTTCTCAATAACTGGTTTATGATGATTCTTGTTGCTGTATATGTGTATTTGAAAATAAATGCTATGAAGTCACCGTGGTGGTGAAGGAGTGCAAAAAAATCACTCCCAGATCAGACGGGACTCATTCATCTGTTTCCAGCGGAATTCAAATATTTATGTTATTTGGTGCTTTACATTTTCTTTACAGTAACGATGTGTTTTACTGCATTTATGAAATATAAAACATAAGAGAAACTTTTTCCTTTTTATTTATACGAGCAAAATGCAACAGCTGTGAAAAAGAGGGGGAAAATTTATTAGTGTGTAAAAGCTGAAACGGTCACTGTAATAAAAAAAAAATCACTTTTAATTTAAAGAATAAAAATGATTAAGCTAATAATTTAGAAATTACTTTTAAAAGGCCTGTTTCAGTCTTATTTTATCCAGAGTTCAGTATGAGGTCGTCCTCTTAGTGCAGCTGCACAACAATCAACCCTGGGACCTGCAGACAACAATTATATCGATATTCACTAATAAACGTAAAAGTCACAATCTGTCCAAATTATTCTGTTCTTTAATATTATCAGCAAAGCAGCAGGGAGCCCTCAGCAGTCACTGGAGGCCAACACTGGCACTTAAACAGTGATTAAAGGTAAAACCTGCTTTGATTTTATTTCTGAAGCAGCTGTATACTTTGATGTAATACCACTTTGCACCACAAGATGGAGCGCTGTGTGTGAACTTTCTCAGGCTCTAGAAGGTGGAGGTTTTTTTTTTAATTATGATTAATTGTTTTTAAAATTGCAGGCTTACGTTTTTTAAATAAGGTAAGTGATCTACTTTAAAATGTCAGCCTGGTGAACGATTAGACTTTAGAGGACGCGAGCAGCAGCAAACATCTGGAAACATTAAAATGCACCTACTGGTGAAATGCTGCCCACTGGTGGTGAATGTTTTCATTCACACGTTGAAACAAAAAGCACCTTTAAGTTGTCAGCGATAAGAAAATAGCAGTGCTATAGCTATAGGTTTATGCTTTTTTCTTTAGTGTTCGCTTTATTTTTAATTTCTTTCAGTTCAAAGTTCACAGCAGGCATCATAAAAACAGCCAAGTTTGAATAAACAGCCACAAGTTCTGTTAACAAGTTCATCAAGTAAGGTTTTGTTTTTAAAGCCCAAAATACTTTTATAAATGTTTTAGCCAACCAAAAAGTTTTCACACTCAGTTTTAAACTGTAGTAGCAGGTCAAAGGTCACCCATGTCAAAACAATGTTACTTAGTGCCAGGTTAGCACACTTATGGACATCATTCAGCTGAAATGAAGCTTTCTGAGCCGGCAGTCTGAGGATTGGTGCAGCGGTCACAACAGGAAGGTCGCTCTCGTCTCAGAGCCGCCAGGTGGCGTTTCAGTTTCGTCCCACAATCCAGGTCTAACTGCAGATTGTAGGTGTGTGTACAAACAAGACTTCTAGTTGTACTTTTAAAGCAGCAGCTTTCTCCTCAGGCTGCTGACAGCAGGTCAGTCCTCATGTTTTATTCTCTTCCTGACATAATCCCAGAGGATAACTGGGTCTTCTTCTGGGAGTCAACTGGAGCTTTCTCTGGTGAGGCAGACACATTAACCAGTAAACTGTTTAAACCAGTCACCTCTCCACTGAAAGAAGTTGTGGCATTGAAACTCCTTTCAGCTGTTTAATCTAGAGTTTCACACCCTGAAAGAAGAGTCGCTCCATTTCCTGTTAACCTGCTCAAAGCGCTGCTGATTTTTCCAGCAGATGCCTCAACTCCCCATTTAATCACTGCCTGGGTGCCCGTGAGCCCGGGCGTACGTTCAACCCCAGCTGTGAACCTTTCACACCTCTGACAAAGTAAGTCAGAATTAAAACTCCTCGCTTCATAGTAAGAAAATCTTACTTTCTACATAAACCATTCATGTTACTGCGTTCTGATTGGTCGGTTATGGATTTAAAACGGGACACTTCAGTGAGGATGACACTTCCAGACGCAGCAGGTGGAGGTGGTGGTGTAATCAGGACGCTGATCACAGTTGTTTCACTTCATCAAATCTGACAGTAAAAATGTAGATTTCTGGCTCGTTCAGGACCACCTATGAAAAGTCTGCATTCAAACACCCGGAGCCAGAGGACAAACGCAGCGCTACACCTGCGAGAGGCGAGCGGTGACATCACACAGGTTAAAATGAGCTGAGAGCAGGACCACGGCACCAAGTTAAACATAAATGTTTTAATGGTACTATTTACAAAAAAAGAAAAAACAATTCAGCTTTTTGATTAGGTTATAACTGCTGCAACAATCAAACAGGTACATCGACATCTCGCTTAACTACAAAAAAAGAAAAAAACAAACAGTGACTGAATGGCTGCGGGATAAAAAGGTGTAAAATGAAAAACCATAGATTTTTTTTGCATAGCAATTAGTTACTTTAAGGTGGAGGGAGGAGGAGTGTGTGAGGTTATATGGAGGATGTGGTGAAAATAAAATCCGGTCTGAGTGTGACGTTCGATCGATCGATCGGTCGGAGGGGGCAGCAGAAGATTTTTTCCCTTGGAGAACCTGAGCTCAGGGCGGCTTCAGCTGAGAGCTGCTACATGTGAAATGTGAGAGGAGGGAGGGCGGGGTTTGTTTGCCGCGCTGCGATTTGACGTTTCCATTTCCTCTTTTCTTTTTTTAAATTAAGTGGACGCCTTTGTGCCGTCGGGATCGGACGCAAGCGTGTTTGCTGACATGCAGCGGCGGTGCTTTGAGGGGTAAGTGCTTTAAAAAGAAAAAAAAAAAAACACTAATAAAAAACAAACTTAAAAACGCCGCGTCTGTTTGTGCTGCCCTGTGAAGCTGAACTGAAAACAGAGGCAGCGGCGGGAGATCAAAAAAGGAATGATTTACTATTAAAAGGAACGCACAAAAAAGAAGAGGATGAGTCAGAACAGAACGAGAGAAAAACTAACAAAAAACACGTCAGGAATGAAAAAAACATAATGAAGCAAACCAGACTTGGCAGTTTAAAGAAGTGCTCTGGTGAGTTCAGGCGACCTCTAGTGGAAGGAGGGGGAACCACATCTCAAATGTATCAGTTTTATTTGGATGAGGAAGGTCTGAGGGGGCGGAGGAAGAGGAAGGGCTGATTTTTTTTCTCCTTTTTTTATTGTTTTATTTGTCACTCCACTAAAAATGTACATGGGAATTACAAGCAAACTAGTCAATAAAAACAAAAACAAAAAAAACCCTTTGGCCATATTTTTGAGGAGTCCGCTACATAGTGCGCTACGAGTGTACACGCGACGTATGAAACACCACTAAGCCCCCATGTACATTGTTTAGCCTACTACAGAAATTTTTTTGTAACGTGTTGTTTTTATACTTTTTTTTTTTTAAACATTTATCTTTTTTTTTTTTTTTCTTTCGTGTGACAAAAAACAAGTGTCGGGAAAGGCTTCTATCTCCGTAATGTTCACTAAAAACTGTGAAAGTATTAGACTGATGTTTGAATATCAAACAACAGGAACCCATTTAATGTTATTCTGCGCTGAGGTTCTGCTTGTTAATGCCAGAGAGGAGCTGTGTGTGTGTGGGTGTGTGGGGGGGGGCCCTCATTCATCGGTGGGTGGAGGACTTGTGTTTTAGGGCGCCGCCACTGTTCTCGTCGTCAAGGGGCGGCTCTGCGTCATCCGAATCGAGGCGTCCGTAGGCCATCGCTCGGCAACCTGAGATGCTGCGCATCCTGGGCCTGACTTGGTGGTCGCTCTCAGACTCGGGCTCTGGGGCTGGGTCTTCGGGCAGGGGGAAGCACCGGCGTTCCCACGGCGCCACCGTCTGGGGGGGGGGAAAAATGCGGGTGTTAAAAACGAATGAAAGTTTCAGACGCTTCACAGGCTGACTGATCCTCAGGGGTGGAGCTACGTACCCGCTCTTCGAAGGTGAAGTCTGGCGTGGAGCACCGCGTGTCCTCACTGGACAGGAGCCGGTGGGAGTCCCTCGAGCAGGGCGTGTGGGGGTTGGAGGCGGTGTCGGGGCTGGCGGGACTCATGGGCGACGGCACGTAGCTGTAGTCATGCAGCATTGGGCAGTGGCCCGGGTCGGGGGACGCGGGCTGAGGGGTGGGCGGGTTGGTCCCGCACAGCAGAGGTGTGGTGCGCCCGTCCACGGACTTGTACGACCTGAGGAAGAAACGGAGGAGTTGTCAATGTCACGGCTGCCGCGTGACAACAAACGCGAGGCGCTTACTGAGGCGTATGATGCTGCTCTTACCTGCTGCCCCGCCTCTTAGCAGGAGCCAGGGCCCTCCAAGTCCAGCGAGTGCGCTCCTGGTCCTCATAGGCCTGATGGAGCTGAATGAAAGCTGCGTCTGACAGGTCCTCCACCTGCAGAAACATCGCATGTCATCAGGACCCCCAAAACTCGTTTGCTTCAGTTTAATCATCAAACACTCTGAGAGAAAGCAGTTTGACCATCTGAGCTCGAACAACGACGCTGAGATGTTTTTATAACTTTTAATGTCACGCTAAGAATTTGAAAGAAGAGTTTTTAGGTTTTCAAAGCCTTCATGATTGCTTCACAGGTTAAAATGTACGAGTCAGATCCGACCACCAGGTGTCACTGTTCGCTCAGCAGCTCAGGATCTCCTGAACGGATCCTAACATCCCAGCTTAACACGTGAAATCTGATAAATACCACAGATGAGGTGGTTCTCTCACCTCGCGTTCGTTCTCCTCCTCGGTTATGGGCTGCGAGAAGGCGTCCACACACCGCCAGCTTTAGAAAACAAGACAAAAACGTGTGAGTGCAGGGAACCAGCAGCCACAGCAGAGTGGTATTTTTCCATGCAGGTATCGGTTTACCTGGGCGTGAGAATCTCTTTGTACTGAAGCTTCTCCACGCGGGTGGTGGCAGCCACAGACATGGGGATTACTATGTTGTTGATGTCGAAGGAGCTTTCACCTCGCCTCCTCTTGATTGGCTGCTGCTGGAGAACAAAGGAGGAGTGTAAACAAGCGAGACTTTACACAGAAGTCTGCAAACAATAACGACTCGACCGGCTCCGACACACTTTCAGCTCAAACGCTCTCACAGCCTGCAGGGAGGATGACACGTGTCATCATGTTAATCCAAAAGATGAAGGTTAATAGAAACTGAGGTCATCATGAGCTCACTTCACAAACACATTTGGATATTTACAATTTACAGGTTTCCTCCTTAATCCAAGGAGACTTTGTTTAATAAATGTTGTCCATGTTGGTGTAAAAGACCAGCAGGCAACAATTACACACTCATGTTTTAGGGTGAGTGTGCAAATGAGCTGAAGATGCCCTGCAGGTCACAATCAGTTGGTCGAGTCTGCAGCATTTAACCATTTCTAGGTCCAAATACTCCTTCAGCTCCCGAAAAACAAACCGAGGCAAAACCGAGCACTCCAGATTTATCCAGCTCCAAGAAAATCACCAGATGAACTTTAATATCCGTGAAAAAGAGGCTTTACGAGGTTTAGAGACTCAACTTTGGATGTAAATGAAGACAAAACATCATTGACTTGTAACAAGTTTGTGAAGATGAGTACATGCAATTCAATACAAGCACAAAAAAGACGTAGGACGAGTTAAATTGCTTCCAAAAGTTCACACGGCAGGAAGAAGACGCTGAAAGCAGACTGAACTTCAGCCGTGAGAACCTCTGGAGTGAGCCCATCCACAGCAGCAGGTTAATCAGTAAAATGCTGCTTCATGGTTTCAGATTACTCGCTAAGAAGTCCTGAAGCTAAGCTAAGCATCCACACAGACAGCCTGATTCTGAAGTGTGAAAATAATGAATTAAAATAAAGTAAAATTATTAAAATAATAATGATGAAAATGAGAGAAAAAAGCAAAAACAAAAACAAGCCCAGACAGCGCAGCACGTTAAAGCGCTCCGACCACGAACGGGGTCACAGATCACGAGTTACAGAGCGGATACGGCAGCAGCTGGCGCAACGAGTCTGCCGAGTGTTTTTGTTTCCTGCTGCTTTTTCTGCTCCAGCAACCACAAAAAAGTTTCAGCTCGAGTTTAACGTCTGAACCTCCGCCCAGCGACAAACACTGTGTGATGAGTGTTTATCGAGGGAGTGTTCTTCTCACACCGAGCCTCAACTTTTACTTTTGTTCGCATTAATGGCGCCAAAAACGCATCAGACAGTGACGCTCGCAGCTTGTTTGCATGCTGCCGTCGCAGAAGTCTCAGTTTGTTTCCCGTCTTCCTCACTACAGCACAGCTTTCCCACACACACCCCGTCTAAGACTTTCCCTGGAACACATTTTTTTAATGCTGTGCTTGTCATCTTGTGTCACGTGAAACCATCAGATTTCCACGCAGCTACTGAAATAAATGAATGTCATTAATAAAATATATGACTGCAGTAAAGCCTGCTTAAAAAAAAACACAGCAAGCATTTTTAAAAACCCCGGACTGATGATTTGAATCATCCAAATAAGGTGTGAGATCTGGGGTGGCGTCCTTACAGGCGTGCTCGGGACACTCTGGCTGCTCAGGCCCAGCGGCACAGAGTTCTCTGAAGATGTGGACAGCTGGCGTGTTAGGGGGCTGTGCAGGGACGAGTGCATGTTGGCTAGAGTCGTGCAGGGGGTGCTCGAGTCCATGAAGAGCTTGGGGGAGGCTGGAAGAAAGAAAGAAAGAAAGAAAGAAAGAAAGAAAGAAAGAAAGAAAGAAAGAAAGAAAGAAAGAAAGAAAGAAAGGAAAAGTCAGGCGGGTTCACTGATGGGACCTCAGATTAAAGCAGTCCCTGCTGCAGACGTGTAACTCACAGTCCGCTCTCTCCAGCGAGTGCTCCCTTATTCTCTTGCGGCTGTAGTTCTTGTCGTACGGCCCTAACGGGGTCGAGATGGCCTGCAGCCGCTCTGTCTTGCACACAGCCTGGCCCTCCAGCCTGGCCGCGTTCATCACGCCGCTGCTGCCGCCGCCGCCTCCGCCAACGCTGCTGTCAACTGTCCTCGACTTCTCAGCGCTTCTCTTGTGGCCCAATCCTGCAACACCAGGAGTACATCAGGTTACTGTCATATATGTCACAGGTTAGGACAACTGACGGCGCTTCCACAGTCATGGACGTTTACATTACACATTAAAACAAACATGTTCAGATAATAAAAATTTACTCCAAGACTTTTGTTGAGTTTAAAAATCCACTGCCTGAAGTTTTTAGTTGGCTTATGTTCATATGTCAGATATTAAATCTTCACGTGTGAGATGGTGGAATTAGTAAATGCGTATTTTCTCCTCTAGGATAACAACCAATCAACAGCTGCTCTGTTCTCAGCTGAGTGGATATGACATCGAGATCGGGCCTCCTCAGAAGGCAGATTCTTTTCTGAGAAGCGTCTCATTGCGTGAAATTAGGAAATACGGCAGCTACTAGGACAGAGTGAACTGTGAAACCTACACAGCTGGAATTAAGCAGAAACCTGACCTGAACAACAATCACACTGTGTCCCAATAATGTGCTGACTTTAAAAATGACATTTCGTAACATCGTACATTTGTACACATTTGTCTGTTTCTTCACGTCTTATATTTATTTTGTATGTGAGAGGTCGTATTTAAGTCTGGGTGATGTGATCTCAGAGGCGTCGCTGTGCTCGTGTGCTGCCGTCAAATGGCAGAAAGCTGCCGCTCGGACAGCTCCCATACTTACTGACTGCCATGAGCGAGTTGGTGAACTTGTGCTTCTCTTTGGATGAGGAGAGCTTGTGTTTGAGGGAGAGCTTCTTCAGTGGTTTGCTCCTCTCCAGTGACTTGGTCTGCCACTGGCTCTTCATCACCTGCTGCAGGCGCAGACCTATACAAACGTCTGAGGAAGACAGCGGCAGAGGAAACGAGACTCAGAAAAATCAACTCCCTGAAGAAAACTTTATGCTTTCCCTCATATTCTGTCAAATACGTTCTTGTTATGGTGACGGAGGTTCACGTTAAACACGGTGAAACTTTCAAATTAACAAGGTCAGCATACGAGATAAATGCTGACTCAGTCTCGGGCAGTTTTTTTCTACACTTGGCTCTTCTCAGGCACACATCTCGACCTTCCAGATGTTTCCAAGGGGCAGCCAATCAGGAGCTTACTTTTTTCACACAGGAGGACAAACTGAGGGCACTTCTGTAACTACACTCACATTACCCCCACCAGGGGGCAAAGTTTTCCGTGGATGTGTTAAAACTCAAATGTAATGAGGGTTAAGTGTTGAGCGTTTTTAGGCAAATTGAGGTTCAGATGAGCACATAGTAGCATAAACTGATATTACATCACAGTGCAGCCCAACTTCAGCTAATAAATATATTCCTTCAGGGTTTTTTTTGTTTGTTTTTTTAACCCCAGAGGGAATATCCACTACTGAAGCACTACTACTAGAACAAGAACGCAGCAGTAACGCACATACAGGCTGCCAGACACCATTAAGCAACAAGAACAGGAGAAGAAAGCGCTGTAGCTACCAGGGATCAGACTGGTAAGGTCTGTATGGAGCTGTGACATTGCATGCTGCTGTACTCACAGGAGAAAAAACACAAATATCTGCCACAAATATAGCATTTCAAGTAGTCTGGGGTGGAGGGTGGGTGAAATTATCATCCTTAATATGAATCATGCCAAGTCCAAGAATACAAAAGACATATTCCTAAAATTAGTGCTATAAACTCTTGAAGAGTTTTCTGCAGTTTAGTGATTCACATGAAACAAGCCTCAGAGCAGCGGTCCAAATGTTCACTAATAACCTTTAAAGTCACCTCCAAAATGTTCCCCCTTTGTTTTAGTGTAAACAAATTTAGGTGCCCAGTGAAAATTACATCCATGAGACACCCTGAAATAGCTTAAGAAAAAACAAAATGATTAAACAGTGAAAAGAAAACACGACATCACATCTCCTCTGGGCTCAGAGTTTCAGAAATAACCCAGTTAAATTACAGGAAAACAGACGAGCAGCCCACAACCCAGACTTAAGACAATTACACTTTTCCCCCCTGTATAATTAAAAAATAAAACTTATTTCCTGTCATTTATTGGTTTGTTGGTTACACATTTTATTTATCGTTAAGAGCAAAAATAGAACACTAAACTGCCTGAAAAGTTTTGCCCTCCCTCTGGGAGCAAATCAGACGTCCTGATAGGCTGAATCTGGCACCAGGCTGTGTGCTTTACACTGCAACCTTAGATAATCTATTCTGTGAGCTTCAGCCAAACCTACTGCTTCATTTGTCCGTGTCGTGTAAAACTGTTCATGTTTTGATTTGCAGTAAAGTCAGAAATTCCTGTCTTCATTTATGTGAGTTCCTTGCTGCGCAGAGAGAGAGAAGACTCTAAATGACTAAATATGTTCAGCAGAACTTCCTGCTGAGCTCACAGCCACGCCTTGTTTGTCTTCCCCTCTGAATGTAAAGGAGGAAATGGCTGCGTAAACTCAAGCTCCGCTCTGAGACCAGCACTGACCGTCGGGGAAGGAGAGGATGGGATGGACGCCAAGATCCAGCCTTGACAGGCGCTCCAAGGTGGGCAGCTCGTACTGAGGGTCCTCTCTGGGGGTGGGCCAGCCACCGCACATCACACAGGTGGGGTTAACCCTGCAGTTACACTGGATGCAGCTGCTCCTCGGGGCCTGCCAGGAGGACAAACGAGAGCGGTTGCAAATCATTCACAGCCAAGCTGTGATTATTAATAATTCAGCGGCTTCACTGACACGGCCGTTAAACACTTATTGAGTGAGTCATGCCAGAAAATGTTCTGCTCTTTAGAGCCGCTGACGTCATGCTCCGTGTGCCTGCTTTATGTCTATTCCCCCCATTTTTAAAATTACTCTATTATTAGTTCTGCTGGTACTTTACTGAAACTTTCTCTTTTAATAGATACAAAAACAGAACAGACTGCACCCGCTCCTTAAGCTCCTTGTTGAATTTTATCTAGATTTTCTTCTTTTCCATTGACCTTTTGTATTTTATTCTATTTTTTTCCTATTTAGCTGTGCCATTTTTTTTTTCATACTGAGCCATTTCAGTTTGTGTTCCACTCTATTTAAGCCATGTTGTGTTTAATGAGTTTGGTCCTCCTACTAGAACCCCCCCCCATATAATCAGACAATACCTATTAGAATTTGTAAATCACTGGTGTTCAAAAGTTCCTCTGCAGAAAATGTCCTCCATCTCATCTGAGATATCAGCTCCTATTTTGATTATGTTTTGCTAGATGAACGCGCGTGGACGTATCTGACACCGGTTTAGTTCGCTGTACTTCGTCCCACAGAAATAATCAGTGTTTCCTCCTCACTACTGAAACCAACCATATTATTACACACTAATATAGTACATTTAAATCTCTTTCAGCACACTCTTTAAAGAAGCTGTGGTAGTGCCTCAAGTTTCTATGCTATGATTTAGGGAGTTTCCTGGTGTAAAATCAGGTGGTCTCTGAGCCACTTGGTTTCACTTTTGCCTTGTGATGTGCTCCATGATGAACAGATCATCACCAAACTATCCTGAATCAGTGGAAGACGATGAGTCCACAAAGTGATCAACCTGGGGCTTCGATAAGGAGGGAACATAAACCAATCAGGTCAACACTGTAAATACTGACACTCTGTAAACATAAAAGTGGGGTTATTTATAACTAATCATGAAATGATTAAGATTATTTTTCACTACATCATAAAAACATGTTAAAAAAGAGAAGCTGTTTTAGAGGCACAGCATTTTAAAACGACAGCTGTGAACGATTTGGATTTTATAATGTAAATAGTTGTTTAATGTAAAAGATGCATTAAGCTTCTTATGTCCTGCTGAACTGATAGGATTTTCTCTCTTTCTGAATCATGTGGTTCACCATGCTTTGATTTGAAGGACCTTTTTGTTGTTTCTTTGAAAGTCTGTTTTTTTTCCTTTTTAAAAATATTGTTTATAAAAACAAGCAGGAGAAATATGACTGCATAATTGTAGTAGTAGTAGTATTTTTCAGTTTAAAAGCCTCAACACATTTAGAGACTTAAAGTCACACTCAGTCTCCCAGAGAGTGGGAAGGGGTGTAAACAATTAGAGAAACGTTTCTATTCCCCCCTCAACTAAAACTTGTGAGTCGTCACATGGGGCCATTACTACCCTTTGTTGTTCGACTCTGAATAAAGATGCCCTACTTTCCCCATCTCTCGTTTACTCAGTTATTAGGTCACGCACCAGCCGAAGAGTGAAGCCTAAAACACTAGGCGCTGTCTAACAAAAAGCCCTTTCACTGCTCTTAAATGTGCGAAACTGAACATTCAGCATGTTCGCGCCGTTTCCACAAAGACTCCTTCACACGCGTGTGCCCTTGCAGCTTCTTTCAAGTGAAACTCAAGAATAATCACACAGAGCAGAAAACTCACCTTGCCGTTAAGGTTGGGCACAGTGTTGGGCTGAATGAGTCGCCGCCGGCGGCAGCTGATTAGCGGCCGCGTACGTGCAGCCACGCATGTGCTGTCGTAGGCCGACGGCTGCTGATGCTTGGCGTCTGTGCTCTCTGCCATCCTACAACACGGAGAGAAGATTTAGCACCTGTTAAAAGCTGGCGTGCTCGTAGCTGTGAGTGCATCTCATTAGCTTAAAACTCAATGTGACTTTAGCTGCCAGATGTGCTACACCTCAGAGATAGCAGACTGTACTAGCAGCTGTACAGTCTGTATGATACAGTGCCCAAAGTATTATAAACTTTGCAAAACAAAAAACTGCAAATATTAAAAAAAAAAAAAAAAAAAAATCGAAATCACTGAGCACATCAAGCATCCTAAACTCTGGATTCAGGCTTCAAGATAATAACAAGACATGTGAGCTGACCCTATGTGACAGGATTACAAATAACCATCTGTGAGGACATTTTCACACTCTTTCTTGTGTTTGGAACAATACTTAATCTAATGTATTATAGAGTCTGAATATTTCAGGATGTAACTTCAACAGTTTCCACACACAAACATTGGACACACAATTCAATACATTGTCCTATGACACCTTTTTATTATAATTAATTAAAGTCAACTGGTGCCCCTTCAGAAACCTTAGCATGAACCTACACAATAAAAATTTACCTTGGGATGCGGTTGTAGCACCATACGAGTGGGTTGAAATTTGGTGCATTTTCAGAGCAAATCAATTCTACACCCACTCCAAGTGACTCTAACCCACAGGTTCAGGAGCAAAACTGCACCAATTTTAATGTCTATGATGTAGAGGCACATAAACAAGCGTTCGCTACAGAAAACTTTATCCAAAATACACTTTTCACAGGTCAGTATGTGATGGGAGATTTCTTTTGTGTTAACAGAGCTTAAATGTAATTTTCAGGGCTGACAATTTCTTGTAAATATCACATTTACTTGAAAAAGAGGAAACTCCGATTCACCCATCGACGTTTAAAGAGCCTGTATTTAGCAAATTATTCACAGCATGAAGGTAAAATTCTGTACTGCTTCATTAAAATCCACTGAAGTCATTACTGAAAGTAAAGCCGATTCTGTCAGGTGGCTTCCTATTTGGTTACCGTAATTTTAAAAAGAATGACTTATTCTCATATGGCACTAACAACAGGAGATGGCCTGCTTTAGAAACCTTCATCAGCAATGAGGAAGCTGCCTGAGCACAGCGTGTAGGAGGCTGAGCTCACACGATTATTACTCACTTCATTCTCACAGAGGTCATTACAGTTAATTAAAATGAAACTAAAACCAAAACCAGGTGAAAAACAACCTATGCACACTTACAAAAACAAATGTTATGTAGATTTTTGTACAGAAGTTCACTGACACATATCTACAGGACTGTGTCCACTGACTGCGTGAAATGAAAAAAAAATAACTGAAACTAATAATCAAAACAAAACCGAAACGGAGAAAATCATCCTGAAAACTAAACACAACAGAAACAAAAATAAACTAAATAAAAATCCCTGATTCAAACACGGGTGCAGTTCAACAAACTTTGCACTATTGAGCTGGAGGTTAAAGACTGTTTCATGTCTCATCAGGCGGCATCTAGCAGCTACACTTTCACATTTGCTAAGAAAAAAATGAGTTCAGGGAAGCTGATGTTTAGAAGATGTGCCAGTTTTTTAAAAAAAAATGCAGTATTAAGACTACAAAAAACAAAAGTCACAGACAAAGCTTTGTCCATAGTGGATATTGTGATTGCGTGAAAAGCACATGAGACAAATATTATAGTTGGGTCCATTTATTACCACAGCAAAACACCACTATGCAAAGATGACTAACGTGGATGTTTTTCCAGCTGAAATGTCTGCTGTGAAAAAGGTTAATTACTTTTCTACTAATCACTCCAGCTAAAATCAGCATCTCTCTAACTGCAAATCCAAACGAAGGACTCCCCTCTCGCGTTTCCTGGAAAGGCAGCGAGCCTTTCCGAGAACTCAAAATGAGGTAATCATTAGCAGCTGTACCTGCTGAGGACGCCGTTGACTGGCTGCCCGTTTTGACCTTTCCAAGGGCCCGGCTCTGTGCTGCTGATATGGGCGGTGCCCGTGTGCTCCAGACGTTCTGAACCGGCGTCCTGCATCGACAGATAAGACCAAAACCAGTTAGACTACACCTCGTGTTAACTGGCAGGCTGACCACGCTGAACACTCAGGCAGCCGGCGGTATTTCAGGAAACTGCATTAGAGACAAACTAAATCATCTTGGTCCTGTGGCCTTGAATTATTCAGTCCAGATTTGGGCTAAGGCCTTCACTCTCCCAAGGCTTAAACCATCAAGATAAAAAACCTGAAGCACTTTTTCCGCAAGCTTTTACACAAGTGAACAGTTTCATGATTCCAGTCAACCATGTCTCATTTCACAAACATCTGCTCCACATTTCTCTATCATTTCAACTCAATAGCTGAGCGTGTGTTAATTTGTACTTTACGTCTTTGCAACATTTTGATATTTTTATTTTAAACAGTTTTTTAAAAGCTTGTGTTAAATATGTCAAGTATAATGAAACGTGCTACTATAAACAACTGCCATTTATATAGCAGCTTTGCTATCAAATCGGATTACCTTAAAGACAGAAAAACATTTAATTTAATGAGGTTCAACATGCAGTAGAGCAAATGTACACCGCTGCAATGGGAGGCTGCACAGCTGCAGCTGAACAGACATAACCAATTTAAACACCCAGACAGGCCGACTCATCAAGAGAAATTATTTGGATCTGAGGGTTAGGGAGCTTTTTTTCCTTTCTAAACTGCTTTGATTCGGTCAGACCTGAGGAACAGATAAGAACACAATTTCCCGTGAACACTTACCATTTCATTTCCACCTGTGTGAAAACAAACAAGCTCAATATTTCAGTCATTCTCAGGGATAGACTAAAGCAGAGCTGCTTGTATTTACCCACTAACACAGCATCCGAAGATCAAAGTGCTGAATAAAGGCTACAACTAATATTCATTCATTAATATTTATTTATCTTTACATTATACACTTGAGCCAAGAATGAATGGGGTTATTTATAAGAATTGATGAAGGCTAAAGATTTTATCTTGCACTATTTTCTATTTGTTGGAAGAACAAGAAGAAAATTTTGTAACCTTACTGCTGTCTAATTTTGTTTTTGTATTCTTCCCTTTGTATTCACAAAAACTGATCTGAGGCTCGCCTCTTACATAAATCTTTAAACTCATCTTCATTCAAAAATAATCCCTTTGTTAAGCTTTTAGTTCATCTCGGTTCATCCTCCGTCTTAAACAGTTTCAACTTATTCTGATTAGTTGTGCATCTCAAAAATAAGGTTTGGACAGTTGGTGGGTGGAGCTTGTGCAACTTGCAGCCAGAGCTGTGTACCTGAGATGATGGGATCAGCCTTGCTAAGTAAGAAAAGGGGGGCTATGAAAACCGTGTCAGCGGTTGTATTTTAATGCAGGCAAAATGTTTTTCTAAATCAAAAGAATATAAAAATAGTAAAAATTGCCATTTTAACTGATAACAGTCTGTCTAATCTATCCAAGATAGTGGCTGGGTTGATTAAAGACAACCTCTGTCTTGAACTGTTTACTGCTTTATGAGACTGACTCACAGGGATTACTCGTGCATACAGTGACCTCATTTTTTTAAATGTTTGTCCTATTTCATGTGACCATGTACAAATGCAACAATACATGTGACAGAAATTATGTAAAAACAATAAAAAGGTCAACAAAAAGAATAAAAACAATGGTTTTAAGCCACTAGCAGCTACTGTTCTATTAAAAAGACAATTTTTAAAGAAACAAATCTGTTTACCTGAGTGTTTACAGGCTCTGCTTTTACTTCTGTCCCACCTGCAAGCACCCCACTTGGCGAAACACCTCCCAGCTCTACTGAGCCCTGAGAAATCGAGAGATGAGAGTTATACTTTCAATTCAAAGATAAAGAAATTAATACAAGTTAAAATGCATCACAGAGCTTCTTCATCCTACAGTGTCAGTGGAAATACACATAAAAGGACTCTTTTCTGATTTTATTACACTTGATGGAAGATTTTTCTGCACATCAGAGAAAAAAAAACTAAAATGCACAGACGTGTCTAATAAATGGAAGGACCGACCTTGCTGGCGCGGATCTGTCTGTAAATGTCCGTCTGCTGCCGGATGCGGTACTCCAAGTCCGAGATGTGGGCCTGGAGCCAGTTCCAGTGGCTGATGATGGCAGCTCTCTCCACGGTGTAGCGGCTCTCTGCTCGCTTCCATCTGCAGGGGGGGATGACACGAGTGTTTAAGTTATGGTCAACAGAAGATACTCTGGGTGATAGTGATTTATGTCACGTGTGTCCAGATCAAATCTACTCTTCACTACTTTAGGTTCTATTTATTTGAGCCAAACCAGCTGTAGCAATGGTTTGAATTCCACAGACACATTGAACTAGACAGACAGGCACACCTAAAAAAAAAAAAGCCAACGGGCTACAGGCAGACAATCTGAACTGAGGCATCAGGACCTCTGATGGATTTCGATCCACCAGTCTGAGGAGATGAGCCAGGCAAAAAAAACCCAGTGAAATCTAAAACCACGTTCTTATAAGCTTCCTTTTATGTGATGCTGTATCTCTCACCATTTTTTCATCTCCCTTTTAGGACTCTATCATATAAATAAAGTTCTTATTTACTACTACATCTTTACTGTGAGTAAATGCCCTGTGTTAGCCATGTGTCTTAAATGTGCTGTTATTTTGGTGTTTAAATTCACACATATGCACAAAGATAAGGAACAACCAATAGCAAGGAAGAGTCTCGAAGCTGATGCACTGAAAAGAGTCAAATCAAAGTACGGAGGAGCTGAGGGGGGTTTCAAAAGGCTGCAATGTACAAGTAGTTTTTTTTTTTTTTTTTTAAGTACTTTGTTTTTAATGAAACTTTCTACACACCTTGTTAAGCCTTACAAACATATGTGCAAGATCAAAGTTAAAGATTAATCATTGTGCTTTGATTGCAAGGTCTAATTCAGGCTTGTGAAACAAGCGAGTTGCTTTCATGGTCTTATCTTGTTCAATTGTCCTTAGGTTGGACTGGAGTGGGGGACAAAAACAAACTAATTTCTTTTCACAAAGGTCAAATTAAATAGAAACACCAATGAAAAACAACTTTATATCCAAGGCTGTAATTTTAAATAAAAAGGACTAAACAGCCTATGAAGTGAAACAACATATTTATCTCACTGAGATTAATTACTCATCCTGTCCACTCAACTGAATTGTGGTGAACTTCAAACTCACATAATCTTTATTTATTGAGCTTTCTCATGTAAAAATCCCCCAACCTCACACCAGGAAACAACTTGATAAGCAGCATGTTTTATTATTGCAGTTTGATGTTCATAGGTCACATGTAGGTTTTAACACAGCCAGCTGATGAAGGCTCAAAACATATCAACAGACTATTGTGTGAAAAAGAAAACACACCTAATTTACTGAAACTGTGGGACAGTATTATTTTCTTTTATAAAGGATGTTTCAGTGTACACTCTGCTACTAAAGGAGGTAATAAAGGAAGCACTGAAGCACCCTTCCTTAGCATTTAAGGAATTCAAACAACTTTTATTGTGTCTGCCACACAGACACCTCCAGGTCATTTCAATCAGCAACCTTCATAAGAAAAAACGACCAGTCGGCATCAGCCCTCATCTCGCTGGGACCCAGTGTGGACTTTAGTGAAGCTCCACTTATTTATGCAACTGGTCTTCAACTACAGTTATTAGTCTGTTCCCAGTTTATATAAGTACTTTCCGGTGTTTTACTGAACTATTATTAAACACTAAAATTGATTATTTGGAGCATTTCCGCTGTCAGACTGCAGAGGTCAGTGAATCAGCGTTATAGCAGAGCTCCCAGCAGTGGCAGCTGCAGGCAGCCTGGAAAAGCATTAGAGTCAAAAAATAACATGATTAGGCATGCATTATAAATATGTGGAGAAATTAAAAATTAAAGAAAAAAAAGAACTGGGGGTTTCCACTGCAGGGGTATGCTCTGTGAGAAAGGAACGAGTGCCAGCTGAGAGCAGGGTACTCCATTTTACCAGTATGACACACAGAATGGCCATTTCAAAGGCAGACATGAGAGGAAAATGTCTGCTCCTGCACAGTGCGGAAGCAACCACAGAGGGCGCCATTTCTTCCAAAGACAGGGCCGCAGAGGCTGTGGATGAACAATGAAGGTAATGACTCAGATAGCAGACAAAGATAGACCTTGCACTCCCTCTTTTTCCTCTCTTCCCCACACACCCTAACCTGTTTTCAATTTCCAGAGCCTCCACCAGGGCAGAGGTAGATGGGAGAGAAAGACAAGGGAGATGGGAAGGGTCGCTCTGGCAGTCTGGAGAGGAACAGACAGGCCTTAAAAGCAAATCTACAGGGCACAGGGTGCAGGAGGGGGGTGGGGCTGGGTGCAGACGCTGGAATAACCAATAATCCAACCAAGAATCCCGCCTTACTGAGGTGCTGAGCAGAAACAGAGCTCCTCTGGCAGATGACGTCCATCACGGAGCCGATCAGTGCAATCAGAGACATTCCGATTTCTTCCTTGACACATCTGCTAGTCTTATGTCCCCGTTCACTACGACATAGTATGGAGGACAATGCTGTAAATACAGCTGCAGTGTTTCCTGCTGGCACTACTTCCTGTTGCTGTTCCCCACACACACACACACACACACACACACACACACTAGATCAGTTCCATTTAGTCCCTTTGAATTAGAAGTATCAAACATGAGACCCAGGACCTAAAGCCAGCTCACCAAAGGGTCCAAATTCAGCCTACTTGATGTCCAACTGCAGTAAAGGTACTGACTGACATTCTGGAGAGTCTTGCACGCAAGTACAATTGGTCCTCTTATAATCATTAAAATAATTTGTCTGTCTTGCTTTACTTAGCACAAGCATCAAGTTATATGCACTTAAGGTAAAGAGGGGTGTGTCAAACTGCCACGTCATTTCCTACGGTATTTCTGAGCCACGTGAAAGTTCAGCAACTATTACACAACATAAAAATCTGTTAGAAACTGCAACCAAATAAATTTTAAACATTCTCCAACTGTGACAATCTAAAGTCAAAATCTTGTTTTTAAGCTCTGAGCAAAGGACATCACAGCTAGTAGATGAGCCTGATATGTAATGTATGTAAAAGAGAGGCCTCTCACATAGTTTTTAAACAGCCCTAATAAAAGAACATTTCCTCCAGATATTTTCTGTACTCAAGAATTCAAGAGGGCACACAAGCGCTGTTAAATATAATAATAATAATAATAATAATAATAATAATAATAATAATAATAATAATAATAATGATGGGTGACTTATCCAACCCTTTATTCTTCTAGTGTCTGTAACTTTGAAAATATTGATAGCATGAAAGTAAAATTTGGTATGTGTTCATTAAATATGGTTATTATACAAAGATCAGCAGTCACATAAAGACAGCCAAACCACCAAGGCGAGTGAGGATACATCAGCTCCTTAAAAGCAGAAGCAAAACATCACAGACATGATAAGGAAAGGCTGAACGGGAATGAAGAGCTTCAGTCCTTAGGACACCTCATCAGCACTGACAGACAATATCCCAGGTAAGTTAAAATAATCCACTCTGAAAGTGCAGAACAACCTAAAATCAGATAACAGAAGAGAAGCAGCAAGAGCTTCAGCTGCAGTTTACAAAAGCACAAACAGAGCGATCATTACAAGTCCAATGACCTCAATCACCAGGGTGACTGAGGAGGTTGAGAAAGAGGAGGGGTCAGTTAGAAAGAACCCACTACTATCACCCATTCTTTCTCCCAACGAGGAGCTCCTCCCCTCCTCTCTAATCAGGACAAATTTTCCTCCCCCCTCAACTCCCACATACACACACAAAGTGCCAGCAGCAGCCGGTTCGGTGGCCGTTTTCTGGCTGTCAGCAGATTCTCCATTGTGGTGCTTCTCTGGATGCAGCACATATGTCGTCTATAACATAGTGACCCCTTCAAAAACCACCATAATCGCTCAGTAACGCTGCCTCTCAGTAAAGCTCTCTCTCAAAAACCAGCAGGTCCTGATATCCCATCCGCTGGACACATGACGCTGCCTCATGTGAAAACAACCAGTTTTCCTATGGATGTTAATCAGGGGTGCAACAACCCGACATGTGGACCAGACAATGGTCCAATCTTTACTCAAAAAGGCTAGACCTGATATTCAGATTTGGTGTGCAGTAGTTTGGTAACAAAACGATGAGCAGTGCATAGGGATTTCTCACCTGCTAGTAAGGATGAACCAACCTGATATCTTAATCAGATGTTAGTATCCTGATCAGATATTGGTGAACTCAACATACTGACCTAATGGCTGATCTGTTTAATTCCTTTCCACAATGCACTTTTATCTCATCATGAGGTAAGAGCAGCTAGCACAAGCGTTGCATAGAGGATGCCAACAAATGGGAGAGGAAAAAAATGCTTATCATACATGATGTGGTATAAATTGCTTAAGTCACCAATTTATTTCTTGACTATATTGCATTATGCTTAACTGCTGTGTGTGTGTGTGTGTGTGTGTGTGTGTGTGTGTGTGTGTGTGTGTGTGTGTGTGTGTGTGTGTGTGTAGGGCTGTTCGATATAACGATATATATCGAATAACGATATAAAAACGTCTATCGTTTCATTTTACGCTATCGTTTGTTTCGTGGTGTCGCAAAATAAACTATTTACAGCAATATTTTTTCATCGTTTTGATGGTCACTGTAGTGGCTATATTAATTTCTTAAAGTTCTCCCTTTCTCTTATATTTAATATAACCACACTACAGACAGGCAAGCGCTTGTTTTTATGCGTTGTTGTTAGCAACAACGACGGTTAAACCACAACGTTTCCGCTAGTTTATTTTCCACATAAACCTTTCACAATAAAGCTCAAGATCCTGTTGAGACTTTTCAAAATAAACTGAATCACGTGAAAGATGCAGAGTATTTACAGATAAGAAGCAAAAAAGAGCCGCCAGGTGCTAAAAAAATAAACCTTAGACTCAAACGTTAGAACAGGCTTTTCCCCTAGGGAACTAGGGCTGCTCAATTAATCGAATTTTAATCACGATTACGATCTGGGCTTTCAACGATCATTAAAAATGACTGAGCCGATTATTAGCCCCTCCCTCATTTATCCGCGACACCTTAAAGGCCGTTCTGTGAAAATATTGTCGGGCATAAACCGTCCGTGGCGCAAAAAAG